TCACCATATCCCCTCCCCACCTCCCCCCCCCCCCCCCCCCCCCCCCCCCCCCCCCGCGCCGCGCCCCCCCCCCCCCCCCCCATAGACTCAGTGTTACCGAAACCATATTATCCAAATTATCAACGTACTACTTGCTCACCCATAGAAATCACATCTAGATTCAACAACCTTTAATGTCAGAAAAAAATAAAATAAACCAATGTACTATGTATGAACACCCGCTATGAAACAACCTGCTAAATAAATAATAAAGCCGAGCTCAAGGTAAAGTGGTTCCCATGCTATGGGATGATGAATACCTGGTTGTGTACTCAAACAAGCACTTGATCCTCCAGACAGTCTAACAATAACATGTGGCCAGGGGCATGTCCCATTACCACGCCGTCCAGCTCGGCCCTCATGACAGCTTCCTGCGGGGTTACGCCGCAGCCCCAAAAGACAGGGACGTTGTCTTCGTCTCCGAATACATCACCCAAGGGCCGACCGTCCATCGTCAGCGGCGCATCGCCCCATTGTGTCACATTGATATCTTTGATGCCCAACCTCTCGACAGCATCCCAGCCCCACGCGATGCACTCGCCATGTGTAGGTAGATAGCGCCGCGTGATGGCCCGCACCGTTTCAATATCGGCTTTCTTGTACGGCCGCATGGACACCACGTACGTGCCACCCATGAACACGCCGGCGGGGTTCAGCGGGATGCTGGTGCGGTACATGGGCACATTGCGGTCCAGTACGGTGTGCCGAGGCGGCAAGCCGGCGCGCACGAGGGCCGATTCGAAGCTGTAGCTACAGCCGATCAGGAATGCGACGTGATCCGCAGTCCAGTGCTCGAGAATATCCGGTATACCGGCGAGCTTCAACTGCGAGTTCTCGTACACGTTGAACTTGGGGCAATCGGTGCGCAGGTCTAGAGCCCGCGCCATCTGCTCGTCAGGGACCCCGGGCAAGTAAGATTGAAGCGCAGCATAATCGCCCGGGTTGCGCGACTCTGCGATAAGGGGACAGGGCACTGGATTCCGCGCGCACAGATCTCGGAAGTCAGAGGCATATTTTGAGGGCAGCATTATGAGGTTTGCTTGCAGATAGCCAGGGGCGAGCCCCGACGTTGAATGAGTGTGCTCATTATTCCTCGCCGCGAGTCGCACAGCTGCCCCCGTTGTCAGGACAATGGGCTCATTAGTCTGAACCTGGGGCTCTTGAGCGATGACTGTGGAGGACGACATACTGTGCGACTAGCTGGTAGTTCAGCAGGCAAGGTGCCACTGACTTTGTGCTTGGATAGCGAACGAAATAGATATATCGCGAGAGGGATCTGGGGACGGTGGGCTAATTAAATAGCGTGCACACCTACTTGGGACCCTTTCCATGATGGTCGCAGACGGACATCCACCTCCGACGCTACGGGACGAGGCGCAACGCGGGGGACCTATTTGACGGCGCATACGGACTTCTGATTCCGTCTCATTCATTGGTCAGAAGGAGCACACAACAGATCGAACATGAGTCAAGGTGCCCATCGTCGGTGTTAAAATCAAAATACAAAAGAAGGATGTGGCGCAGATTAAAGGAGCAATCGGTTGCCTTTTTATCCTTTACTTCATCAAAACTCTCATCGCCGGTATATAGGTTCATTGGCGATAACCTCTAATGACAGAAGTGGTACTGTTACGGACACACACACCTCTGTCCCCGGGAAGAACGACATAATCCTCAAAGTCCCTCGATATCTGCCCACTTCAAAAGTAGGCTCGCCTCGGATGACCTCCGGTGCGAGTTCATGTAGTCGGACGGTGGGCTGGTAGACTTTAGGAGCTTTGGCAGTCTTAGGAGTATTCTGTCTGGCCCAGCTGGTGGCGTTGTTGGGTATGCACAGACTTCTTGGGATGCGGAGCAACGCAAGCCAACTATTGGTTTCGACATGGGAGGAACATCAACCGACGTTTCGCGTTTCTCAGGGACATATGATCATGTCTTCGAGACAGTTACGGCTGGTATTTCCATCCAATCCCCCCAATTAGATATAAACACGTGAGTTATCAGACGCTGAAATCTCTGTGCTTAACTCTGACATTCTGAAAAGTGTCGCAGCAGGAGGCGGCTCTATGCTCTTTTGGAGAAATGGGCTATTTGTCGTTGGCCCTGAGTCGGCGAGTGCTCATCCAGGCCCAGCCTGCTACCGAAAAGGTAGTCACTTTGATGCGGCTGTCGGGAAAACCGAAACAGACGTGCATCTACTAGGAAATTGCCGAACAGATGGGTAGAACACCCCAGAAAACTTCTGTTTCCACCAATGTCAAAGAGCGCCTAGATTTCTCAGGCGCCATGTTTTCTCCTGATGGAGGCCTCGTCGCCAATGCCCCTCACGTGCCGGTACATCTGGGAAGCATGCAGTTTTGCGTCAAACACATGCATGAACTGTGGAAATGCAAACTAGAGGAAGGTGGTGTCTTAGTCTCAAATCATCCTTCTCAGGGTGGCACTCATCTACCGGATATCACCGTCGTGACTCCTATTTTCAGCCAAGGCGAGATCATCTTCTATGTGGCGTCGCGCGGCCATCATGCTGAGAAGCTGGTTGAAAAAGGTCGATTCGGGCGTGTCCGGAACTCGAACCTTAAGCGATAACCTTTCTGATCTGAAGGCTCAGGTTGCAGCAAACAAGAAAGGCATAGACTTAATCCAGGCTCTTATCCAGGAGCAATCGCTGAAAGAAGTCTACAAATACATGTTTGCAATCCGGCGCAACGCAGAACTAGCTGTGTGTCACAGTACTGCCCTGCTGTGGTTTCATGTATTTGTTCTGTTATTGCACAAGGAGGGAAGTTCTAGTTTTCGCCCCTTATTCCCTTTCTTAGCGTTATATACAGTATTCCTTGGTCCGTGATGTATATCGGAAATTAGGCTTCCTTGGTTCCGTGACACTGTGCGTGCCCTCCTAAAGCAGAAGCACAGGTCTAGCGCAGCTTTAAGAGCGGTCGATTACATGGATGACGGTACTCACATGGCGCTTTCTATCTCAATAGATGGAGAGACGGGATCGGCTGTGTTTGACTTTGCTGGCACTGGTCCTCAGGTATATGCAAATCCCAATGCACCCTGAGAATCTCCATTCCCTGACACTAGAAACAAGCCTGCACCAGAGCAGCTGCCCGCGTCGCTAGATTTTATAGTTCCGAGTTGTTACAAGTAGCATATCTGTACAGAAACCCAGCAATATCGTCAACGCCCTGAGGTTCATTAATCCAATGGCCACCGTCCACATATTCCTTCCATTCTACTTCAAGCTGCCGTGATTGAAGGATATCTCTCAACTCTCTGCCATTATCTATTGGAACGACGTCGTCGTCTGCCGAATGACCCAGAAATATAGGTGTAGTGTGGTTCGATTCCGTAACCTCTTGGTGCGTCTGTGTGTGTGATGTGACGGGCATCCAGCCGCATAGTCCTATGAACCCAGCCAATCTCGTAGTATCCGCAAAATAGGCAGTTATCGCAGTTGCGCATCCTTGGCTTATTCCACCAAGAAATATATTCTCTCGTGGGACCAAAGTCTCTTCATTCTTGATGATATCGAGAATTCTTTGTGTACTCTGATGTAATCCGGGTTGTTGTAATTCTGGTTGTTCCGCTGGGTTTTCGACTGACCATATGTCAAACCATTGAGACATAAAGACATCAAAGCGTTTTGACTTCGTAATCGAGGCACTGGGAAACACCCATCTGATGTTTGGGAAAAGGTCTAGAAGTGTTCGTGGCTGGTCAAGTGGCCCTGACGCCTCACTCTCAAAGAACTCGTCCGCAAATTCTCGTGATGTGCTATCACGGCCATGTAAAAGAATAACCGTATATGTGTGCGCTGCCTTGGGCGCTACTACATGCGTAGTATCGCTGGCCATTTTGGACGATGTTGTTGGAGTATTATGGGCTCACGGTTTAAGGGTTAATACGTGTTGATCTCTACCTTTAAATATGTTCTAAAGCTGGCATAAAAACTGTAATCTAGCTGCCTAGTCTGAAGCCAAGGCACTGTTGAACCTAAAGATATGAGGGATATGAGTTTAGTGCTCCCACCCCCTTATATTTGCTTTTGATGATGCGTATGGACCATAAACAGCCTAGGCCCCTAAAGGAACTTCTTATTGGCAGCTATGGCCTAGGCTATGATGGCTACAGTGCTGGGACACTAGGTCACAATATCACCTCTGCAATTACAACACATTGAGATGGCCGTTTCATGACACTTCGATACCACTTGCTGAGGCAAGTCAGGTGCCTAGGTACAATTCTGGCTAGGATCTGGCGACTCACCTGAGGAATAAGGTTAGAAGCTTACACAATACCGGTTTTGGCGTAGGGCTGCATTTTGCGGATGAAAGTTTTGTGTAAGTTTACCTATCGTCTACTAGAGAATATAGCTACTTGGAGACGGTCCGGAAAGTGCGCATTGCGGTGGCTGGTCGTAAGGGAGTATTCTTGATATCGAGCAGAATAAACTCAGATTCAAGCAACACATAAAATCCACATGTAGCCATCACAAGAGCTATCAAAATTGCTATACTGCTAGGTTTATGAGCACTTGTTTTATTTTATAACCGGTTTTGATTACTACTATTATGCCGTAAGTTTTGTCCAAGACCATTGGAGTACCCTAACCCGGTAACTAATAAATATGAAAATAAAAGGCGTAGATACAATCATCGCAGGAGCCTTTACCCGGATAGATATCGCCCAGCGCCTTCATCCTCTCCGCATGCGAGACATTATCAGCCTCATGATATGGGCACTACGTTCGATGTGGCTATATACCGCCCTATAGATCAACGCGACCCTCGTCACTGGGCCATCAACAGTAAATAACACCAGACACGATTGCCTTTTATTTGAAACATATCTGCCTTTTTTCGATAGTTTTCAACCCCGATATATTTTTACTGACTCTAAGCGTGATAGTCAGATCCCCTACGCAGCGTGACACAATCCATCAAGTATACGATAACATCGACGGCCGAGGATACTACGTTGGAGATGTGAGATGGCGCGTACGGCCTAACTCGGCCAGGCTGTTTTACCAAGCAGTATGTGTTGGTCGTATTCGCTAGCTGCATGTGCGCATAATACGGCGGCTTGTGCAGTCCTGGCCCGTTAATAATGTATCAACCCATTGGAACTGTCAGCGATGGGTCATCGAAATCATTTTTTGGCTATGGAATGCGGGCCTTCTGGTCGTTCGAGAACGGTCATTGAGGCGTCTAATGAGGATGAGAGAATACTGGCAGTGAACGACTGGGGAAACGCCAGACGATCGTCCACCAGTTAGATGATTTACATAAGTCTACGACGAGGTATAAATACACTTGAAGTACCCCAACGCCAAGTTTAAGACTTCAAAATTGTACAAGCACCGACTGGTTTCCGTTTAGAACTGTGAACGCCCGTTTGGCCTCCTCTTTCGTGGCCAAGCTGGTGAAATTAAGAGCATGAGCCTTTCTAGAGGCATCTGGAGTAGCATTTTTAAGCCTGATTAATTGATGATCATACCCCTGGAAGATTTCATCACCGCTTGCATTAACGGAGACGTTCAGTACATTGTAGTAAGTGGCATTTGTGTTTTGAAAGCTTGGCTGAGGGTCTTGTGTAGGCACGACAGAAAAGTAATGGATCACCCAAGAGAGATAGATATACGCCAACAAAAGACCTGTCACCATAGGGGCTTTGAAGCCAGGCAGGCTTCGCCTAGGGCGTGGCTGTTCAGCCGAGGGCTGAGGCGTGCCTGGTTCGCGGTCCATCTCTTGAGTGAATCTTTTCTCGCTCTACCTCTCAGGTTGAAAGTGTTTTCTGCACCAAAATAATATTGTTAGGTAGCGAAATCAGGTTTTAGGCTTTTAAGGCGATGCGGTATTTAGAAGATTAAGCAAATTTTCGTGTCAAGCATATCGTTATGCGATTTTATACACATATATTTGGTGTGCTGATGTAGAGTTTTTATCCCTTTGTTAAACTTCGAACGTGAACAACTAAGAGTAGAGAACAAGGTAGATAGACAATAGGTACTTATAAACCCTATAATTCTTGGACATAATATTAAAGCGCCTTTTGTCTTTAATCATATCATATGAATATTATTTTAAAAAGAAGTAAACAAGGACTATGCATAAATCACTTAATAAAGCCTTTTAGGTTAATGATCTTTAACATTTCTTAATGTATATTTCTAGCTTGGCACATTTTTCCCAAGACATGCATTCATGTAGTGCTATATGTTGGATATTGAACCTGAATGTGGTTATTTACATATTTTTATGAAACCTTCAACCTGCTCGAGTGAGAACTTTGGTAGAGTATTGCTTAGGTAGGGGCCGAGATGGCCACAACCTTCAGTAATATCTGGTGAAAATTACCTAAATCGTGATTAGCTCGTCACCACACCCTTCAAGAACGCATCAATATGTACGTAGTCTTATCGTTTTGTTCAAACAATACTTAGGTACCTACATGTATAGACGTGTTGTATGTATGTTGCCTATATCGTGCCATCACCGACATGAGCCCCGTGTTGTATCAGTAGGTATGTCTACACTTCCTTGAAGTGCATATATATGGTACATATGTGTCTGATAAGTTTGTATAATACAAGGCAAAGGAGAAAATTGAGCAAGGAAGCACGAAGTTTAAGTAAGGTGCCTATCAGTACAGGTGGGATATGTAGTTTCCATCAGTAGATGTTTCGATATCATAACAATAATACCTGTAACGTCAAAGGTAAACAAAAGGGATGTTGGATGCAATTCCATAGCCACTACTGTGGCTCAATATTGTGGTAAATAAATGGTCTACCTGCCCATTAGCAACACAGCACGGCTACCTGTCTCTTCTACATCTCTTAATAGTTCATCTCTTCTTCCCAAAAGCAGACCAAACCAGTGGCACGGTCGCAACGGACAGTTCGAAGCTCGACTTTGGTAGGCTCTTGTCCGTTCACGGGTCCAGGCGCGCGACATAGGAATGATTCTAGGTCTTGAATCTCAGCACGCGCTGATGCCCACTCCCTTGTTCCCTCTTTATCTCTCTATATTCTAGCATACATGCTGCTTGCGTCTCTGCTGGACCCTCTAGGTAGCCTTCTTTAACCTAGATAGACCTGCAGAAGTTACTTTATCAAGACTCATCGGCACTATCACATCACGTTGTTTCCTTCCTTCCACGCTGTCCAACACCTCCTCGCCTTTCTCTTCCCCTCTCTCTCTTCTCTATACTCGGAATTCTCCAACCTGGATAGTTTCACCTTGGCCAGTAGCCGAATCTCCTGTCATGTGAAACACACTCTACATCGACTTCGCATCTGTCCTTGCCCACCCCTCTCTCTCAACCTGCCACCGTCTCCATTTAAGCACCTTTGAGAAATCTCCACCAATTTACCGTCCAACCCACACGGGTTCATACACCACCCTCAACTCTATTACTTATACAGTAAATTCGCAGTCGAGGACTCACCTAAAAAGCAGAGCACCTAAATGCTCGGATGATTGCGACCTGGAACATCCAGATTAAGGTTTGCTTTACCCAAGGCTTTCCCATCCACTTTCACATTTCCTCTTTACCTTGCCACTGTCTGACATTAAAGGACCCATCCATAATATGCACACGATGCTGCTAACCTTGCTTTTGTGGTAATACGCTGACGAAATGTACTTTTGTCAGTTCGCAGCTCGAGTAGGCATTATGTTCCATAACGGTCCGTATTGCTACAATGAACCGATCAACCAACAGAATGGACTTGCCAGCTCCAATGGCGGGCCCAGCGCAACCCCGAATGAGGCAATTTCATAATGCGCCGGGTCGAAGCTTGCCACCGCCTCAACCTAAACTTCAATGCGACATATGCCAAGATGAGTATCCTGCCCACCTTATTCATCACGCGCAGTGCGGGCACAGCCATTGCAGAGACTGCATCAAGGAAAACGCGCTCAGTGCCCTTAATTCCAATCCATTCCGTCCCGCAGGATGCTGCAACGTGTTCGAGATAAACGTACTTCTCCAGTCGGGTGCTCTTACTCCTCAACAAGCAGAATTGTATTCGAATAAGGTTGAAGAATTAACCACTCCACGGTCCGCGTTATACTGCTGGGTACCAGGTTGTGGGGGATTCATTCCAGTTGCAAACCGAGGGCAGCGGGTTGGCACGTGTCCCTTGTGTGCTGCAAAAACCTGCAAACGTTGTGGGGAGAAGTCACATTTTGTTCCCTGCGACTGGGATAAATTGCTCCAAGATCATGCGATGGAAGATAAATTGATCTCCCTTGCCAAAAGAAAAGGCTGGAAACGGTGTCCCTCTTGCCGTAGACTGGTGGAAAAGGGTAAGGACTTTTCTCCCCCCCCCTCCCCCCTTTTTTTTCTTCTCATTTTCTGCCTCCTTCAATCTCATGCTCCCCGGTACCAATTTATCACCATTTAATTCTCCTCAAAAAATCCAAGTCCCTGAAAGCTTGTGTGCAGCCGATATGGCTATAGATCAAGAGTCGTCGAGGCTAACATTGAGTGTCCCAGTTACTGGTTGCGATCACATTTCGTAAGTACTTCGACGCGCATCGGCCTATCAGACCATGCATCAATGACGTATTTTTTACCTTTTATTTAGGTGCCGGTGCGGACAGCACTTCTGCTACAAATGTGGAGAACCATATTCTCTTTCATATGGACATCATTGTCCCGGGCCTAGACAACCACAACAGCAACAGCATTAAGAGCGAGTGTGGCGAGAGCAAGTTGATTACACTCCGTTAATTTAGAATACAACCAGTCGACAGGATAATCAGTGTGATACCCGATACGAAAATTTTCTAAGGTCTATAAAGGGAAAATGGCGTGGGAAAGTAAGGTCTGGGTAAATCGTCTCCTTGGTTGAGATTTTTCGAAGGGTCTTTTGAAACAGTTTGATGGATTTTAAGGAAACAATAGACACGGTTCACGTGTACAATCAAGTCATGGGAGGGTGGAATCTAGTACGCGGCGTATTCTGCTACTGCTGGATAATGAGTTAACAATAAAACGCCTTCAACAATGCATATCCTCGGACTATATCCTTTCTTTGGCGTCTCCTTGCACGTTCGGTGAACTCTTGGCTGTCTCCCATTATGATCATCAGTCATAACCTTGACTACAGTTTGCCGCCCTTTCCCAGTAACTCCAGAGGTACACTAACTCATTTTCTTGATGGGTGCCTACCTAACTTATGCCCCGGAAAATATCGTTGAGAGTTCTACGTTGTTATAGGCCGGTAAGTTTCTGATGACGGAGCTGGCACGAGCGAGGAATACATGCACGAATCAAAGGTCACTGTGGTGTTACACAAGCTGCCACCGGCAGCGCAACGAGTGCGGCAGCTACATGCCTTCCCAAATATCTTGGTCCCTAGGCCGATTCGTGATATTTCTTAGTAAGTATATTACCAATGCATCTGAAGAACATGCCTTTTCAAAGGCATATTTTATAGAGGGACCGGAGCTAGGCTTATATTCCGGTTGTCGGAGTCGGAGTCGGAGAGACGCCCGACAGTTGTGTCGTTTCTTGTCAGGGCAGAGGAACAAAGTGATACAGTGTATATAGTCAGAGAAGTCTAAATGTCTTCAGACTTCTAACCTTTTAGACCTTGTGCCACAATGAGAGTCTTACTGTATACCTTGTACAGCCGTTCTGACATTTCTCGTTGGACTTTTTTCTTTTTTGGGGGTCAGATACATCGGTGTTTATCCAGAAAGGCGCAGGAGGTGTTTATATTTGATTTGTTAATGAGAGCTGTGGCGCTCGTCTGATCGATGAAAGACTCTTGGCAAACTTTCGGCGTTTATGCAAGGTTCTCTGGCGGGACAATGTTATTCTCAATTATAACACGCTTCTATCAAATCTCTATTAATAAGCGCTTGACGCCCGAGTAAATGTCTTGCGAATGCTAAAATATCTTCTGCCTTGTCCACGAAGCATTCTCCCTCTCTAAACACTTTTTATTGATATTATTTCCTTTGATCCGTCTTGATATCCCTGCCCCGCACCAACAGCTTATTTCTGCAATAAACCACACATGTCTCGCCGTTGGTGGCTTATATTTCTGCTCACAGCCCTGAACATGTAGTACACCATCCTCCTGTTCTTGATGTTTCTCACAGTTTCTTCAAGTCATTTCCTAAACCAATTACTTTCCCCATAATATCATCAACCCGAAATCTCTAAAACGTCGGCCAGCCCCTTTAGACTTCAGTACAATGAAGAATCTCTCTGCCGAGGCCATCATCGCCATCATTGGCGTGCTTCTAGGCCTGCTACCGACGACCTTGATACTATTCCGATACATTCACCGTCGTATGAGCTGCTGTGCTCATAAAGGTATTCATTCCTACAATCATAGACAGAACTCATACCTATATTCGCACTACTCTCCTAACTTCCTGTCCTCAGGCGAACTTACTTATCAATCTCAACCAAGACAAGGCCCTCAGCTCAGTAACCTGATAGTCCCCAATATCGAATCAGCGCATGGCTATATCGAAGAACAATACTCCAAGTCCATAAAGTTCTCCATAAATAAACTAGTTTGACGTTCATAGGAGAATTGTCTTCCCGAGTGTAAGTCCCTCACCTTTTTTTTAATATTTACAATCCAAACCTTCCTCTTCAGCTCCTAGCTAGCGCAGATACTGTCAGAAAGGCTGTACAAGGTATACAGTGAGGCTCTCATCGTGGCACAAAATCCACAGTGGTCAAGAGTCTGAAAGTTTTCGGACTTTGCTGGCTGTATACCATGTATCTCTTTATTCCTCCGTCTCCAGACCCCTGATAGATACCTCAATAATTTGACAAGCAGAGCAACTATGATATAATCCCACTGACCCTCATTCTCCCGTTCCGTAAGAACTACAAGCATCGGCTTACACCACTTACCAGAAGTTGATGGAGAGGACGTAGTTGTGCTAGATTAGAATAACTCGCGCTTGTATAAAAGACCAAGGGAGGGGCATATGTAGTCAACTGTGTCATCGTATGAGAGGGTCTTGGAGTTAGCTATGACATAGCAAACCGCTAGGATTCCCAAGGGCTATGTGATCCATTTAAATTGTTTGCTTATGACATTAGGGACTAGTTATACAATTGATCTAGTCTTTACTATACTATCGAATTCATGCCACGGGGGATTAATCCAGACGTTAGTATCTAGTAGCAGTTACACGAAGATGCAACATCTACACACATTAGTGATCTAAGTTATCCTCATGTCTATTGTCCCTCTATCTCTACATCATCGTCATCCTCATTCCCAATGTTCATCCAACCTCTCACATCCTTGTGATTGCCTCAGTGCAGAGAGCACAGCCAAGCCCCTGACACGCGATAACAGAAAGAAAAAGGACGCGCATCAACGCCATAATCTCAGTATTCAACAATCGTCTATCTACAAATCTCCACGAGTCTGTATCCCCTGAGACTTGAATGAGGATGCGCCAGAATGGAATAGAGGCTATGATAAAGTCTTGAGGACTCATGGTTGGGCAACTGAACGTTCGACCCAGCATGTTGGTCATCTGTCGTATGGACATTAAGAAGGGTTTTGAGCTCTAAAAACATCTCGATGTCTCGAGGTAGACGACTCTTCAAAGTCACGACTGTTAACGCACAACAAAGCGTCCACTAGCATGTTTTTCTAGTATCTTCGGATTAAAGCCCCATGGCCAGCGGCGCGCGTTCTGTTTAGAAGGCACATCTGGGAGCCAATTGGCTTTGGGGCGAGGTAATAGTATTCGCATAATTCATGATTTCGTTTGCGTCGTAAGGCATCTATGAGTCACAGGTTCCTATAGCATACGCTGCACATTTGCCCTTTCTCACAAAGGTAGAAAACCGGGAACAGCGGTATACGGAGAAAGATACTAGATGATGAGGGAAACGTCCAACAGCCCCACGTCTATTTCCCCCTTCCGTGTTTTCTATCCATCCATCGAACAACTGATCAAGCCAATGAGATGGTCAAACCCGGAAATGCGACACCATAGAACTGCTGCCTATGTAGGTGTAGCAGCATATTAGCTACACTACTCCTTAAAGCAAATAGGAGCATAATATTCATTGATCATGGTGTTTGTGTACTGAGGATCTCGGGGCAAAATGCACAGAAGGCGGCTTCGAAAGTGGCCTTGGAAGGCGAATGCTATCCAGGTCTTTTGGCTCCCGTGCTGAGGTTGTGCGTATCCTCAGTCGACTCATCGAGTTAGCAATGGCGGAAGCTTGTACGTTGTGGCTGAAAGGCACTTCGTATGCACCGTCAATATTAGGATATGGCGTGGTGAGAGGACCGTCCTATCGGACCCGATCTCTAAAGTCCATATATTCGGCAACTCTTTTACGGTGTTCCGTACAAGCGTCAAAGTACTTCTTTTGAACATCTAGATCTTGGTCCACTTCCGTAAGATAGTCACGCGCCCCATCTTCAAGCCAATTGGCGCCACGCCGTAAGCGGCGTGACTTGAACTCTTCTTGCCGAGTAGAAAAATGAGTAATGACCTTGTTATTGAACGAATCCCACCTGTCCATGTAGTTGTTGAAGTCCTGTGCATATTTTCTAAATGATGAATTATTCGGTCGCAGACCGGCCACTCCCATCGTAGGTGGAAGTCGAGGAGCCACAGGCGGAGGAGGGAATTCCAAGGGCCCATCAGCAGGGTTGGTGTCCAGAGGAATTTGTTCCGACGGCTGGCTCTTGAAGGGAAGAGTTGACTTCAGGTCTGCAAATGAACCAAGTCCACTGGGTGATGGATCCATAAAGGGTTCAACCTTTCGAAAATCCGAGAAAGTCGTGCGAAACTCTTCGGAATCCTCGGAGCCTACATGCTTCGATGGAACATGGTCTGCAGCGCTGACTACCGGCTGAGGCCCGTTAATCTCAGAAGAATCATCTTTTGCGCCGTCGGTGCTTGAGGCTAGACCAGATGTCTTTGAAGCAACACCATTGATATCACCTGCTCTCCAATCCGGCCGGTGGGGTTCGGTGAAATACGGCCGAGCGCTGTTGGCCTGAGCAGCTTTAGGTGCCTCTTTTGCCTTCTCGGTTGGTGGAGTGTCAATATCCATAGCATCTGGTACCGTGAATGGTGGGCCGGGATCATCGCTAGGTGATTCACTCTCTTCATCCACCACTGCCGCCGTCCCTGCTGTCATTTTGAACGACTTGGACCTTCTCGAATTGGTACGCCTAGTAGGAGATGTAGACGTGCTATTCGTAGACTGTGGCTCGAAATGCTGAGATCCTATCTTTTCATTCCAAACCCCCGCTGAAAATCCATTCGCACCAGCTGCTGTATCACCTGGTGCTTCCTGCGCTTGGGGTGCGCGCGTTGGAAGGGAAGGTTTTGACAAGGGTGTTGGCCGACGAATGGGACGGTTCCTGGACTGTGGTCGTGGTTTTGAAGGCGTCGTTGCCTCATTGGCAGAAGCAGAACCTGCCTTAAACTGCCAGTCATCGACCATCTCATCGTCTACAAACCTTGTGTTGATATTTTCAGTGCTGTTTCTTGTAAAGGTATTGTAAGTAGCATTGGTATTAGCCACATTGGGCCCATCGCGAAAGCCGAAGCTAAAAGAAGCACTGTTAGCGTCGGCCTTTTTATGGTTGTTTTTGAGTTTGTGCAAGGGTTGCTGAGGTCTGCCGTCCATCACTTGCCCATCACTCTTATCTCCTTTTTCGCCATTTAAGGAATATTTCTTGACCAAATGATTGAGAGTTTCCCTTTGATTCCTTTCGATGGGATATAAAGTCTTGAGATTGTGGGACCTATTTCCATCGCTTGAAGGATTTGACAGCTGGTAACCTGCATAATATGATAACCGATCACTTTTTCGGCCATAATGTTCATGGGATGACCGACTTGGTCGAGGGGCAGTGGTAGCTGTAGTGAATTGTGCCTGGAGACGGTTCAGAAGATTTTGTGACGCATACACTGACGAGCCATTGCCGTTGGGCTGACTTGAAGCTGTGGTTGAATTAGGCGAAGGTCCTGTCGGTCGTTAGCAAGATGGACTTGACCGAACGGAGCTTATATAACTTACTATAGGAAGCGGTAGCCGGCTGTGGTCCACTAGCTTTCGGCTGAGCAGTCGCAGCATTTCGACTAGAAACTCCGTTAACATTGATGTTTTCTTTAGCTGAATCTTCAGAGCCGCCATCATTACTGGACCCTCTGGCAGGGCTGGCACTTCGCGGTCTTGGGCGTGGAAACGAGCCTGGCATCTCGAAGGGCCGAGGCGGGGTACGGGTGCTTGTCGAGCGCCCTAGACCCGGGCTACTGTCAAAGAGGCTCGTCCTCTCGCCGCCGGGGGTGTGATACGGCGTTCTTTGGCGGTTATCCACAAAATGATCTCTCAAGTAAGCGAATGGATCCGCAGCGGCCGAGGCACCGGCATTGTGAGTAGCGGTTTCAGGGATAGACTCCGGCTCAGTGAACAAATTCGAGTGGGTACGGTTGGTATAGTAATTCTTGTTGGTAACAGGTGGCTCGTCTGCTACACTAGATCTCGGGGTAAAGCCAGTTTTTTTACCTGTGCCGAACGCCGCCTCTTGTTTCTGTTTCTGATATGCTGTCCTTGGAGGCGGAGTTGGTGCCGGCCTCGATTCGCGCGTTGCCGACGTAGGAGCCCTTCCTGGAGGAGCTCTCCCGGGAGTAGTGGGCCGTGTCTGGGTATTCCTACGCGAAGCATTAGGTCGGATATGGTCCCATGCTTCTGCGTTGCTTCGTCGGAACTGGGGGTCATCTTTCGGAGTGCGTGGTCGCGCATTACGCGGCATGCCGCTAGCAAAGTTCTCATAACGTTGAGCCCCTGAGGTTGGACGGGTTTGGGGGTTGGGCTGGCGTCGTGGAGGAGGTGGGTAGGCTTTCGCAGCATCTTGCCACGGGTTACCTTTCACCCCCGAGGAACCGGGGTAGCGAGATGAATATGTGCGGCGTGCTTCATCGTATTGCTTTTTCAGCGTATCATCAGTCAGAATCTCGTGGGCCGACTGGATGATTTGAAATTTGGGATTGACTTCGGCTTCCCTGCCCGGGTTGCGGTCGGGATGGTACTTCAAAGCTGAGAAGGGGGATATCAGTACGTGTCGCCGGATGAAGTGATGTGTAGGATGTGTAGAATGTGTAGGTAGTTACCAGACGTACCTAGTTTTTTGAACTGCTTCTTGATCTCATCGGGCGACGCCGAGGGCTGCAGCTCGAGGTCCGCATAGTAATTCCGTGTTTTATCCCACTTCGGCATGGTGGCCGGCTATTGGCAAGGGCCACCACGCGATGGGCCTGTGATTGAACGGAGGGGAAGCCAGGAATGGTAGCCGACGATCATTTGAGGAGGGGCAGGGCAATAACTCGAGATTCGTGGTGGGAAGCATACACCAATTGCGGCTGACCGCGGCTATGACCACCAAGGCACAGACAGTTAGTAGATACTTAGAGATAGCCAGAAAAGGCGAGTTCAAGCTTGGAATTGCAATCCAAGGCTCGGGGCGGAAGAATGGACAGGATCAGAGAACGGATGTATGACGAGCAGTTGCTTGCATAGGTAGACAGTTGGTACATAGTCTAGCCGCCGCAGCGATTGCTAGTGGTAACGATGGAATGTGCAGGTGTTTATATTTCTGTCGAACCGTCTCGTCCCTGTACTGGGGTAGTAGTAGGCTGGCTGTCTCGCTCGCCTGCCTACCGCCGCAATCCCTTCCTAAACACCCTCGACACCTAGGTACTATGTACGTTAACCTTTACGTACCTGCTACCTGCCTTCGGTGTGACGGTGCCACTAGGTAGAATCCCTGATAGATGCTACCTAGGTAGATAGATACTTAGACATAGAAGTATCTAGTACGCGCCCTTAGAATACGTAGCCGTGGTTGTGTGTGTGGTAGGTGGACGGTGGACCAGTAAAAAGGAGCCAGACCAGACGGGAGGATGTACGGCCAATGCTGGGGTAGGGTAAGCAGGCAAGAAGGCAAGAAGGAAAGAAGGAAGTAAACGCGGGGCTTTGATATGAGAATGGAGAATGGCGAGAATGGGCAAGCAAGGGAGGAATGCTATCTGAATGGTGAAAGGTGAATGAATGGTAAATGGTGAAGAAGGCTGTGTCCTCAATTGGTGTGGATTGAGAGCTGGGGAGGTAAGTACCTATCTATCTCACGCTGGTCAGTCAATAGGCCCCCGTTGGTGGAGGAACTGTAGGCAAGTACCAGACAGCTTGACAGGCACCTGAGGTGGGGGTTGTGCACCTATTAACCTTCCAAGGTTCCCTACCTATGATGTCCTGTGGTACAGGTGGGTGGCATGTGGGTACCTAAGGCTTAGTTAGGTACTTATATGTACTTACTTAAGCTTAATAAATGACAGCGCATGTGGACATGTAGGTACCTCTAAAAGTTAATGTATGTCTCAGAGATAAATCGACTGTCAATAACCTAGGTACCTACATACCTTAAGGTCATACACACCGATCAGCTTGCCACGACATGTACATAGGTAGTTGTGTTGGTGTGGGCGGATGTTTGACTTGATACCTGGGTATCTTGCTTCCAAGGTTGAAAACCCCAAGTTGCAGATGGTACCTGTAGAATGAGGCAATCTCACGCTGAACGTTGAGAGCCAAGAGACAGCTAGCTACATACATATACACTAGTATGCATGTGTCGATTGCTTGTATGTATGTATTGCCGTAGGCGTGCTATTTTACCCTAGGCAACATAGGTATGTTTTATGAGTGGTAGTTGTAAGTAGATACTAGGTAAGACAAACTGGTATGCATGAGACCTGGTACTGTAGGTATCGTGGTTGAATCACCAGACAACCAAAAGCTACAACACGGGGGAAAAGTCTGACACAATATAAGCACTGGAAGAACGAAACCGGCGTAACAGGTGAGAGACGCCATCTCAAATACTTATATATCTAACTGTCTACCTACCTACCTACCTACCTACCTACCTACCTGGCCTGCTGCCTACTTAAGTAGATACCTACTTAGACTAAGCTTTCACCTTGGGCATCCTCGCCGTCTTCTTACCAAAATATGTCTGTCATATTTGGGTAGGTATTGTACCCATGTACATATAAGGTATGACGTGGGACTTCAACTTCCATTCACAGAACGCGCATATTAATCTTTCCCTGACGCATCCACGACAGCGGGTGCCAACAGAAAGACATGGAACATAATAGCAAGGGAACACGGGGGAAAGCAGGGCGACTCTCTCTCTTTGCATCGGCTCCGACAACATCTGTCGTGAAAAGGCGGGAAAGCAAAGTGAGGGGAGCACCTGAGCTACTGCCTGAGCTACTCGTACTTCTGTCCCTTGTCAGACTCTCGGTGATGTGGGCAAATCAAGATCCAGTCATCCCAGTTAATTTGCATGAGGGGTGAGCTGCAAATGACGTCACAATGCAAATATAGCAATGCGCGATAGTCTCTATAGCCCCCGGAATGCTTCAATGTGAATGAAAAAATAAAATAAAATAGAAATGAATAATAAGAATAAAAGGGGCAAAATAAAGGCTCCATGAATTATTTATTATCAGCACTATGGCATCAGGTATACACATATACATGTAGATGAACAATCGTTTACCTTTACACCTGTTGAGTTACACAGGATTCTTGAGAGTACCGTAGGTAGGAGGCGTTTGTCACTGCGTAGATGGCACGATGCACAATATCATATGGAGTCGAGGGAGAAAAAAGGAACGAAGCAATGCTACCCAAATTCAGGCTCGATAGTGGAATAGTCATTTATATTCTCATTACGCACGTCCGCCACCCATCTTCATGTCTGGCCGTGAGAAAAGGAGTTTGTCATCAGCCCATACCGATCCTAACTTAATTTCATGCCCTCGAAAACAGAGACAAAACCAAAACCTCCGGAGCATGATGAATATAGCCCAACACCGACCTGATGCTATTTAACCCGTGGCTTCCAGCCGTACACGTAGTCTAATCAAGTTGCGATGGAACACGTCCTTCAGTAGTTATGACCGGACGCTAAAATAATCAATAATCAATCTCATACCATCTCGCGACCCATATCATATGACCAGCCCCCCTCTCTTCTCATCCTCTCACGGGCTGCCAGGTCCTTCCGTATATCCTCCTCGGTCAGTCCATCCGGTCCACTCCAGTTGGCGCTCGATGTTCGCGCTCGGAACTTTGGGAAGCGATCCTTGCTTCGGGCAAAAACTTCCTCCATGTTCAGGGGGGCTGGTGCTCCAAACACCTCGAACGGATTCTTATTCTCTTGTTCTACAAGAGCTCGTCGGAGGTTGGGCGAATCGGCCCAGTCTGCGACCAAACCTTTACCATCATCTTCATCTTCATCATCCTCGTCGTCCGTATTGATCTCTGGCAGTTCAATGGACTCGCCATTCTGAAACCTTGGGGATGAGCGTGTTGCCGACTTGGCAGCCGACTTGGCGGCTGCTATTCCAGCAGGACGCGCTGGTGTCTTACTAGACCCTGCCACACCATGTGTATTGGACGCAAAAGGGATAGCACTCTTGGATACCTGCGCCATGTCCAATGGATGCGCAGCTTTGATGTGGCTATTGTGTTGGCTCGTCACCGTTGCCTTGAATAGATCCCTCGTCACGTTCTGTGATGGGGCATTAGTGTAACCAGTGGGGAACATTGGCTTCGTAGGCAGGTCCTGCTTCCTATGTTAGCTTTCTCCAACACTATCTTTCCACGCATAGCTTACCTTCTTCAAACCACCAGATGGGCGCACCGGTGCCCCCTTCAGACTCGGCTGTTTCTCGGTCTCTGCGGGATCATTCAGCTCGTCTGTCATCCGCATACGCTTGGATTCTTTCGGCTGAAAGCCCGCTCCGTTCCGGATCAGCGCTGAGTGCGGTGCACTATCATCGCCGCTTTCTTGTGCTAAGGGTCGCTTCGCCTGTGCTTTGGAGGCATTTGAAAGCACCGCATTTACTGGCCGGCTGCTTTCGTCCTGGGAACGCGGGGCCGTCGAATTCATCCGCGATGGCGGTCTAGAAGAACCCGCTTCACTTCTACTATAGTCTGGAGGCCCACTAGGTTGGCTACGGACTGCTGGAGGGGGCGCTCTAGTTTGCTTCGCTTTCTCGAGCATTGCTTGTCTCTGGGCGTTCTTCTTTGCTTCGGCTTGCAAAGCTGCCTGCTTTCGTTCTTCTTCCTTCTGTTGTTCAGCTTCAAGTTTTCTCTGCTGTTCTTGGCGCCTCTCTTCCTCTTGCAAAGCCGCTCGTTTCCGGTCTAACTCTGCTTTAGCATCTCGCTTGCGCTGAGCTTCGCGTTCTTCCTGCTCTTTTCTTCTCGCCGCAACTTCGAGAGCCTTCGGCCTGCCAGCGGATGATGTCGAGCTCTTAAGGCTTTGGAGGGACGGTTTTGTTTGCAGTGAAGGCTGGCTTGCTTTGCTTTTGACCTGAGACTGCGATAGAGTGTCATGCAAGCTTGACGAAAGCATACTATTAGACGGGTGGTAGTGAGATTGCTGAGAGCCCATATTGACACGAATTACTGTAGGCGCCTGCTTTGCCTTGCTGGTCTCCTTGGTTGGCCTAACAGGTCGCTTGATTTCCCTTGTCTTCATAGCTGATGAGGGAGCTGCCATACGAGAAACCGAAGGAGGTGGCATCGTATTTGGTGCGTCGGACATCTCAACGTCTTCAGTTTTCTCCTCTATCCCAGGAGCATCTACACCCTGATCATCCGAGACAGCCTGCGACTTGGGTTTCCGCGAATTGTTCTTAGCGGACTTCGCAACATTAGCAGGAGTGGCCATCGCAATTCGCTTTTCTTGTTCTTTCTGTTCAGCCAACTGCTTCTCCATAGCTGCCAAGCGTTCTTGTTCTTTGCTGAACACGCGCGCCTTCTCTCGCTCTTTCTCACGCGCTTTCTCAAGCTTCTCCATTTGCTCAGCCTGTCGACGTGCTTCCTTAGCCTCTTCTTTCTTGCGCTTTTCTTCCGCCTTTTCTCTCTCGATGGATGCTCTGGTCCTTCTGCCTTCAGTTCGTTCTGGACTAGCCGTGCTTGCAATTGTTTGCGTTTCAGTGACTTGACGAGATAAATCGGGGTAAAGAGATTGAGGCTCCTTTGCTGTCGGCGACCTGAGTGATTCTGTGGAGGGACCTATGTGCAGACCCAGTCGAGTGGTAGATGGAGAGAGAAGGGAGGATTTGCCTTCTGCGCTAATCGCAGCACTACTGGCCAAGAGTCCTCTAGAGCTCTTAAGGATAGAGGACAACTTGTTTTTAACCTGCTTTAGAGGGCTGTTGTTGAATCCACGCGATGGTGATTTTGGAGTCGTAGGCTGCCCGTCTTCCGCAACTGTTGTAAGTGGTGGGTTGGAAACTGATATTGTCTTCTTGATGGCGTTTTCACCATCGTTATTTTGACCCATAACAGGGAGAACAGGAACCGAAACTGACTTGTGATGGCCAAAGACACCAGCAGTCCGTTCAAGTACAGGAGATCGCAGAGGATTGGTGTTGGTGATTTGTGATTTTGTTGTTGGCACCGCAAAATCAGGCTCACTGATAGTGTTCTTGCCAGAAACACCTTCCATGACGTCCGTCGTGTAACTCTTGGAGAGACCGGGTCGCGGACTTTTAAAATTTGAAGCATCATCTGGAGTACCAAGTGGTTCGATCCAATCATCATCATCTTCAGGGAATGCGCCTGGGGTCGCTGGCATTTTGTTCGGTGATACTGCCCGTCGACCTGGAGTAGACTGTGGGGGTGCACTTGTCACTGGAGAGCTTGGCGATGTGCTGGGATTCATTGTTGCTTTCGAAACTTGCTGGACATTTGCTTGTGGTTTACCGAGTTTGTTTATTTGATCTTGGAGCCGTTGCGTGTACGTTTTGCTATGGACAGCTGCATCGTCTGTATCTGTTTGAGGGTTTGGAGGCGCTGGGAAGTCATCAATATCCATCTCATCATTCTCATCATCTATAACATCTTGTTTCGCGTGTCCGATGCTTTTGCCTCCCGTGTGACGATAATAGCTGGGACGATTCTGGTCCAAATGGCTCGTTCTTGAGATCCGATTACCAATGCTTTTATGAGTAATAGGTTCTCGTGCAGGTAAAGAAGCGAAATTAAGACTGCTCTTCCTCACGATAGGTCGAATTGGGCTCGACCCATCAGAGGGCGACCGTGGCACTTCATCTATAACTGTCTCTGTCACACCGATATCCACATCTGGGGGTTCAGCCGACGGGGTATGGCCGTTTTCAGTAACTTTAGCAGGCGTCGGACTCTCCTCCAAGATAGGAGAAGGTGGTGCGGCGGGCGAGCCTATAGGTGTTGTGGTTTCATGGTGCGAAAGGTCCTTGGTAGGTGAAGGTGCAGCTGCGGCATGAGCAGTAAAATACTGGGTAGGCGAATCGCCGACACCCGATTCTGGAGCCGGGTCGGATGACGGGTGTGCAGGGCTTCGCATGTCTTTGTGGATTGGTGACATATAAAACGCTACACGACCCACGTGGGCACTGTTTTGAGGGCTAGACGGTTGAGTTTCTTCATCCAGGACAGCGGAGTCGTCTACTTCCATCACATCTTGAGACTGGCTTCCGTGATATCCAGAATCTACTACGGATGCTGGTTCTGCCTGTGGTACAGGTTTTGAGGAAGCAGTCTGCTTCAGTGGACTGGTCGAAACGAAAGCTTTTGGTGGTGAAGGTTGAGGGTCAACCGCTATCTTAACACGAGGAGTGTTTGGTCTGCCATGGTTCGCTACGGCAAAAGGATTGGGGCCGCCCTTGGGAGTCGAGGAAAAGATGTTTGAAAGGGGCTAATCGCAGATTGTGAGCTCAACTTGTTGAAGGTTATGATATTGTAAATCAAATACTTACCACGCGGCTTTCTCCTGGATTCGCCTTCCTTACAGTCCGGGGGGTTTTGCCTCTAAGTTTACCAGGAGTCTTGAAGATCTCGGCGACATTTCTATTTCTTCATTAGCAAGATGATATTACTTCTCAACACTCGCATTCGCGCACATTTGATTCTCGCTAAAGACCTCGGCCATATGTTCATTTAACCAGTCGAAGTCATTCTGAACGGAGAAGGTGAATTCCTCGACCTCAGACTGGGCAATCTGTGTCGCCGAAGACCGCTCCTCTTCAATCCATGGCGCTGAGCCAACCTGCATTCGCGTTCGTCCGGCCATGGCGCGACAGGCCGGCACTAGGACACCGGCGATAATGGGTGAGACGCGTGTCGGTTCTGTTACGAGTCGCGTAACAGTAGGAAGAGCGACGCGTTAGGGCGGAGCGGCGGTATGGACTATGAACTATAAATCAGTTAATCATGGCTCGATTTGTATACGGGCGTGCCAAAGGGGGCGATCAATGGGCGGAAAACAAAGTTGTTGGTTGAGAAGAAAGGTTAGAGGAAGTCTGGTCAATAGGTGACAAGGTGAGGTGTAGTCTGCGATTGTGGAGGGCTTGCCGGGGATTTGGAGACAAGGGGAAGCCAGTGTGCTGATTGGCCAGAGAGCTTAGTTACGGTAAACACAAAGCTCGGGCCAGCACATTTACAGCTGATCACCCCACTTAGCAGCCCACTAAATACCTACCTACTTAGTGTTACTGTAGGTACCTAAGTAGCTCGCTATCTTACATAATCGAAAATGCAAAATGCACCAGAGGTATTTCTCAAAGGAGGGAAAGGTTGTTATCATGGATCATGAATATACCTACCTAGGTTATGTAGGTAGTGAGCACCTTCATCTCTTCAGCTTGAAGGCTCTCGCTAGCTAAAGTGCATACATAATACGACGATTCAGGCGTTCATCTATTAGAGCCACGAGGTTTAAGAACCAAAACCTCATCCACTCCTCGTAATTAATTACCCGGCCAGGATTTTAACAAGGAAAATGAATCTCACGAAACAGACTCGGCATACAATACTCATCTTTCATGACTTCCAATCGTCACTCTATACTTTTTTTTTATCGCGTTTCAGGAATGTTGGAAATCGTAGTCAAGAGAGGCTTAGGGGCTCTATAGGTACCCCAGAAATGAACACATTGTGTGATAGCCATGATCGGTCCCGCACGCGTCTGATATTATTTCAGCCAACAGCTATTGCCTCGAATAAGCCGACTTTCTTGCTCTCTCTGCTCCTTGAGCGGCATTCAAATCCACAGGCAAAGCTGGTCTACCATGACACTAGGGCTATAGCCCATTAACCCCCCCTAAAGGCCATTTCCGGGGAAAACATGTCCGTCCGTTTCCATTAGTACATACACCTACACAAACGCCAATCGCGTATTCACACCGAGGATCGTGTCAGTTATATCCGGTTCTATGTCCCTCCTACAAGCCTGTACTTGGGTTGGTTTCGAGATCTGCATAGTGCAGCGTGAGTGACCGCTAGCATTAGGTTAGTAGCCGTTGGTTCAAACAGATGATTGATTTTTAGATGCAAAGACGTACCCTATCCTTGCGCCACTCGTCAGTATTCCACACAATGTAGTACCCTTCCTCGTGCTGTGCACTCAAAATTCGCGGGTGCATAATCTCATCCTTAGTCAACCAGATCTTCAGTTTCTTGTGCCATCTCCATTGCCGTTGGAAACTACACCAAGCTAGTTAATAACACAAATGAAATGTCTAACAGACTGAAGGACTCTCACAGTTGTTCGGCAGCAAGCTGCTGCTGATAATCGCCAGGACAGCTGTAGAAAATCCACATCAACGTTTCTTCGTTGAAGTTGGAGATCTTGTTACGGAGAGGTGCAACATTCTTAACCTCGTAACATTCTGGAAGCCGGAAGTCGGGAATGGGTGGCCGCGGCGGAGTATCCTGAAATGGAGACCATATCTGCGTTGAGATCATTCTACAAAGATCATAAAGACCAAGTTAGCCTTATAGATAGCAGATATAACATTCGTCGTTGATACTTACGCAGGTGAAGTGAGATCAAGTCCGAAACTGGCGGGATCCATTCCAGCAATACTGGCGGCATAGTCGGGATAGTTATGCATTAAAGTACGCAGACCTTTGATACCCCACTTGTCGATCTCTGCCATACCAGCCAAAGGGTCATGGATAATGGGTGGTTGCACGTTATCGTTCTCTTTGTTTTTACTCGACTGCGACTCATTTGTGCCAATGGCGCCGAGGGGATTTCGACCTTCAGAGGATTGCACGGGATCTTTAGGAGACTGGGACGGCAAAGGATCATCGCGAAATCCAGGTGGTTTCTGGCGAGCCTCATCATTACTGCTTCTCAGGTTCTGGGACCGAGAAAGATCTATATAAAACTGTAAGTGGCTACATGTGATTGAGGCTGACGGAATAACTGACCTAACCCCGTTGTCCCATCAGGTGAGCGAACATCTGTTGTCCGTGAATTCGCAGACAGCGCATTAAGTAGGCCGTTACCCGCACGTGTGCCCTGTAGTGAACCACTTCCAGAGTTGCCTTGGGCGCCGAAGCCCAGCGTTGACATCAAAGTAGACCCACGCTCCTGGGCAATGTCTCCATCGCCATTTCTTAGGCTGTTGTTGAGCGGCGGGAAGTCGTCAATGCTACTCGGTTGGGGCTGAGATGATTGCGACATACTTGCTTGGTTACCAAACCGAAACGCTCCTTGGGTTGTATTCACGCGAGGATTTGAGTAGAAATCTTCCTGCTGAGTTTGTTGAGAATGAGGAGTGGGCTGATTTCGCTGGATAGCACTACCCATAGGTCTCGAGTTTCCGGCCCATAACGAGGACGGGTTGCCGCTAGAAAGCTGAACGTTATTGGAGAGAGAGGGGAATTCCCTGCCGAAGTATTAGCAATCCTGAGGGCATGATCTTAAAGAGGTCCGGCTTGACTTGGGGTGTGAGAAGAGGGCTCAAAGGATTGGGATTGGAAACAGTATGCCAGCAGACCCAAAGAACAAAGGATAATAAGAATTTACCGGCTCAGAACCGAAGCATAAGGTAACCCGGGAGGCAGAGGGGTTGGGGACTGGACTTCGCGTATACCAAGAAACTGGCTATTCTGAGCTTGATCTAAATCAGGGGATGAAGCCATCTTAAAAGTGCTGCTAGCAGAAAGCCAATCATAAGAATTGTCACATGCGGGTGCTGTCTCCTTGGGAAATGACGTTTCCATAGAGGCAGGACCACTGGAATGCAAGTGTAGTTTGCGTACAAGCTTTGGCTTGCGAGATCTGGTAGTGATGGATTGGGAATCTGCACCTTCAGGCAGAGAAGGTGAGAGTAGCGGGTGAGCTGACATGATGCGCACCATGAGTAAAACGCGATGGTGGGTAACTATCCTGGAAGCAGCGATGCGGGAAATGAAGCTGAATAAAATCGGCAACACAGGTTGAATGAAGGGAAACGACAAGAACTCAATGCTGTGTGTTTGTGTGTATGTGTGCAAGAGCATGTGGGAGGACAGCGGTAGGTGGGCATGGCTACTAGGTACATAGGCGAAGTGTGGCCAGACGTCCCAGGCAACCAAAACACAACAATAAGTAAATAAAAGGATATACCTACGACGGGTCCAACGACGATGTTGGTTGCGAGCCCAAGCTCTGTGCAAAACTGAGGTTTCCCCCTAACTGCCTTGAGGCATTCTGGAGATTACTAGCAGCAGCACCGCCCATAGGGACATTTCCGCCAAAAGCCCATCCGGGCGCATTGTTTGCTGTGAGTACGACGCCAGGTCAGCCTCAGGACAAGCAGATCCGTGATGGTTTCTGCCGTTCATACCTAATTTTCCATTTGGTAACCGACTTGACGCTGCTCTACCAGGCTGTTGAGGTGGTTGTTGTTGGCTGCCAAAGCCAGCCGGCATCCCCCTTAAGGTTTGCGGTACAGCTCCTGACAATATCTCGAATTAGCCAGGCTCCCAAAGTACGTGCGTGTACGCAAGATTGATATATAGCGCGGCAACAAGTGGGAGCAGTGTCGAGAACCTCTACGCCAGAGATCCTACGACCAAGACTACCGATCCCGCCTTCGTCTTCGCCGTGACGCTCAACGAGGTTCTGATTGCGACAAGGCTGAGATGGGGCAGGTCAACCCGCAGCCAGCCTCCCTAAGTCTCCATCTACACGCAGTCATGCACTAGTATAATCGCACGTTTCGCAGGAAGAATGAGGGTCGCTCGTTGTAGATGGCACGGCTTAGGCGACAGTCACGCCACGGTAATTCGGAGTCGAGCAACAAGACAAGCGTTTGCAGGAGGCAGAGAGGATGTTGTAGGGCAAGGGGGTTCGGGACAGCACTACCTGGTCGATTCATGGCTAGATCCCAGTGTGAGAGGGCGAGTGACGCTCTAGTGACTGGATATATGGTTCTAAGAATCGTCTCGTCGGGGTTGGGGCTCGAAGCCAGTGATTCACAAGAGTGGTCGGACTGTTATCGGTTTTGAGCTCGACCTTGGGGGTTTAAACACATGGTGGCTTCGCTCCAGGCGTGCCCAGCTTGATTCGCCGATTCAGAGAGAAGACCCACCGGCCAGGGTGCAGTGGCCAATAGGCGGGCTGCCCAGGGCACTAAGCTCAGTCAGCCTTGTCTCTTTAGCGTGCTGCTACAGGGACTTCAGCACGTGTATCCGTATCTGCACTTGCTAAATGTCGTCATTCAGGCATGGCTGGGTTTACGAGGCTATCTCAGCACCTACTTAGGCAGTAGGATGGTAGGCAATCGAGCTCTGAGCTCCAAGAAGTTACTTTAGAGTACTACTCCTATATTCATTAGAATATCTAAAATATCGACTTATTTCTTTATAGTACTTGTCTAAAAGATCCAGAAACCTTAGAAATTTAGAGAATATACCTAGCAAGTGTCTACATACTCTTTATCGTTGTTTAACATGAATGACGCGTTTTCACCTCCATCCAATGACGCGGCTTCCTGCAACGCCTCTACTTGCCGATTTTGAGCTTGAAAATGAAGCTCATCTAATTCATCCATCTTGTCGAGAAAATCGCTGCCAGGGCACCAGTGGTCGTCTCCCTGTTCGAATTCATGTCGACAAGCGTGCCTCGTATCTCCATGACTGCAACTGCAATAGTGATCAAGGAGCTGAGTGAGGTCGTGCTGACAATCGCTGCAATAGTGATCAAAAAGAAAGTTGACTTTATAAGCCCGTCGGCCTATTGGTTTCTTGGCCGGCCTTCTCATCTTCCGTCTTTTCTCTAGTCTATTCCGAGATTCCACAGGAGGGAACTCTCTGCTTTGCCGGATAGGCTTCTCAGCCTTCGAAGTTGTATACATCGCGCTCTTTTTTTTTTTGCTACCTATCTATTCTTCCTATGAGTATTGTAGGAAAGGCATTTTGTCTGTTGGTTTGCGTTGCACGCAGCATTTTATATTCGCTTGAGACTGCAATACATACTAATCTGCCATGGTTACCGTTTCCAGTGTCTTTGTTTACAGTACAAGGCTCAGTCTCACACACTAAAATTAGAACGCATCCTGTCTTTGATGTGATCATGCATCCTCCCTTTGGCGTCAAAGCGCCTTGTCCTTATTATCGCATTCACCCACAAACCCTAGGGCTTCCCATCTATTAGCTACATATCTAGTATCTTTTCAGAGGCTCGAGCTAGGTCTTTAGGTAGACTATACAGTCAAATACTGCAGTATGATCAGAAACTAACCGTTAACTTAGAACCTGTTTAGAAAGAGTGCCTGCTGACGTCACTGCACAAAGGCCTGTAAGTAAGTTAAAGAGGCTTATCTAGTCCCTTAGGAATTTACAACTACCGAAGTCTTTGATTTTGGAAATATTGTGACTAGTATCATAACCTGGGTATGTTTAGGAATATGCTGACATCGGGGACCTGGGAGGGGGTATACCCAATTTGCATTGTAACAATGATTGTTGATTTAAGATGAGAAGAATTCGTTCGTGCTACAATTGCCCAGCCCGCCCGACTGTCAATAAATCAGGGAGTTGGAAATTCGAGGCGTTTCGGGGGAGGGATTGGGGTTTTCTTTTGCTTTTACCCGTGCAATCTCTCAGTTACTCTATGTCCCGTAATTTACGACTTAGGTAGTCTGTGTACAAGGGAAAGATGGGATAACTAGGTATGCATTCAAGCGTTGCAATTACTTGCTGCACATACCACGATGTAATAACTTTTTAGTTCGTGCAAATCTTACTCTATTGCCAAATGCCGCTGCATGGTCGCCGTCTTTACTCTGGGAATATGATCAGAAGTTTGTGGACTTATGATATTGTTACACGTGCAACCTCTGTGCTAGCTGAATATGCAGTTCGCATTGCACTTCGGCCTTACGAAGGACCTTTGCAGGCTGTTCATGATCTTTCAAGACATGCAGAAAATATTGGGCAATATTGGAAAGTGAGGTTATACAGACTTCGCTTCTTGAAACAGACCCCAGAGACCTAGGCGGTCTGGGCTGGCAGACTAATTGTATATAGAGTCAAGTCAAGCCATCAACAAGCGAGAAGGAGTTGGTTGGTCAAGGACTTATGCAGCCCTAGTTGATCATTGTAATCTGAATTCCCCGTTCCAAGCCCAGTATTTACTGCCCTTGTTATAGATATGTACTCCTACATCTTGCATGGAGCTTCATTTAGCCCTGTTTGTCTGCTTGGAGTAATTTGTTTAAATAGAAACATCAACTGCAGTGCCTGTTGCTTCGATAGGCACATGAATAGAGTGACAGATGCGAAGTAATTAGCACCAACACAGTCTGGTCTTTAGAGTATTCACACTGGTTTATCCTGTATTCTATCAAGAAAGCTATTTTCCACGTCAACCTTGTGTATGTTTCTTCCAATCAGCACCATCTTTCCCATTTGTGAAGTTGTGCTAACATCAGTGCTAGACTTTTGTCCATCTATAATCTCAAATATTTCTCTCACGCCCTGGACTATCTTAGTAGTTCCATCCTCAAAGACTAGACGCGCTTTCAGTCGATGTATCTCTATGTGAGCTGGACTTGTTGCTGCATTTGGGATCTCGCTTTCCCACAGAATGGATCTGAGCCATCCATCTATCTCCTGGAGCTGGTCCACAGTCAGCAATGGAATGCTGAAGGAGACTGTGGATATGGTCTAGGCTAATTAGCGCATATGAAACTGAACAAGGGACTAGGGATATAACGAACAGGATCCAGATGACTATGCCCCTTCTCTGTAGCGTCTAAGGTTTCGACTCGGTCATAGGCATGCAAATCTAGCAACACGCCTTCCAACTGCGGCACTTTGCTCTGTTCAGTCACATGGATCTTAGCGAGGCCGTTGATTGCTTTTATTCGGGCTTTGACGTGTTCGAGCTCTTCGGAGGTTACCAAGTCTGCCTTGTTGATAACCACCACGTCGGCGTGTGATATTTGTACATGGGCGGTCGTCATCAACGGTCCATGGCTATCATCATGCCCTTGGTTGTTCTCAACTTTACCAGCTGGGTCGTCCAGGCTTCGTAGGATATTTTTGGCATCAACCAACGTCACGATACCGTCGAGATAGATAGTGCTACCCAGTCCTTCGTCGACCCAGAACAGCGGGGCAAGGTTGCCGGGATCTGCGAGTCCAGTGGTCTCGAGAAGGATGTAATCGAATGCCCCCTTCTTTTCCATCAATGATTCAATTGCATTGACTCCAGAGTCCCTAACAAGCGGTCAGACTTCGTTTTGCAGCCATATGGAGGGTTCATTAATTACTTCACCGAGCAACAGATGCAACCATTTCCTACCTCGAGCCACTCTTCAACCTGCTCGCCACCCTTGTTCACAGTGAGAGACTTCTCGATATCGAGGGCTATGAAAGATCAGCACGCTGCCTCCACTCTACCAATCTTCAATTAGTTCATACAGTCACCGAACTCGTTCATGATGACGGCAATTTTCTTGCCATGGCGAGCTGTGAGAATATAGTTCAGAAGCGTTGTTTTCCCAGCTCCCAGGTATCCTGATTGCAATGTAATTAGTGCCTGTGGCCTACTTGAGCGTCTAGGTAAATGGAAGCCTTACCTGTGACGATGGTGATTGGAACCTTGACCTGTACCTCATCTCCCGCAATGTCCTGCCCCGCCTCGACAAGCTCTGGAGGGGCATCATCGTCAATGTCCATGATTGAGGCGCCGGAAGGAAACGAAAGAGACTTCTCTGCTTTTAGAGCTTATGAGAAGTGCCTACGGCGACTTGATATCGTTAGAGTTTGAGAAACAAGGCAAACTCGGCCTTTGCAGATTGGACACGCCCTTTGCTCTACATGTACATGTAAGTATAGGTATTGGATTTCATGGAGACGGGGGCAATCCCTGACATGCCTTAGTCTGAGTAATGCATAAGCCTGAATACAAGGGTATTTAGTTAAGAGCTAGTACATCGACTGAACCTCGTCCAAGGGCAGACAAGGGGCAGCACGAAAATATCTGGGCACCAATCATAAACCTGGCAGATCGGGCAGCACAGAAGTACTCTCTGCGCGCGTGGCTCGGCGCGGCGCGATCAGGAATAACCGTATTTTTTACCTACAGGTCCTACCGAAGTATGCGTAGTCTAACCTTGGGCTAACCCCCCCCTAGTTACCTAGTTAGTTATATGTGACAGGTGACAACGACGACAACGAGAAAACAACAATCAAATCGACACACCCCAGATCACCCAGATCGCCCAGACGGGTCAAGACGGCCTCGTCTCTGTCCACGCGCAGAGCCATGTCTCTCACTCAAGGATCGCCTCGACTTCCCTCCCCGCCGCCGCCGGCCGAGATCCAACTCTCACCAAGCTTGAATGCCGCTGCGAACCGCCAGACACCGCAGATGGAGCAAACCATCAACGACGCGAACGCGAAGCGCCGCATCCACCCGGGCACCAAAGCCGAAGATATGGCCGCCGGCCCGCCCCTGGTGCCCTTGAACGAAGTATGTCTTCTGCCCATGACCTTGTCTTGTCTTGTCGACATACATGGAGGGGGAGGCCGTGGTAATGCATGCATGCGATCCTGACCATCTCGCTTCTTTGATACAGCTCGATTCGGCTTTCCAACTGCAAGAACATCTTGCCGCCCTCCACTATCACCATACTGCCTCCAACACTACTGCCATCACGCGCGCCGCCGCTGCTCAGCTCACCCAGCCGCCGCCTGGCATCGATCGGACCCTGTGGCTTTACGAGCTCTGTCGCTTTCTTATCGCAGAATGCAATAGCTTGATCGTCGGCTTTCTCTTCGACAACCCTCCTTGCTCATCCGCGACATGTCCTGAAATGCGCGCCTCCGAATGGCAGTTCTTATGCGCCGTACATGACCAGCCCAAGAGTTGTTGCGCAATCGATTATTGCTGTCATACGCTTGATTGGGCGGCAAATGTAGTCACAAATCCCAAGATCTTCCCGAGCAGATTCGTTCTGGTGTCCGAAGGTCACGACAAAAGCGCAGTTCTGAAGAATTTGGTCAATGTGTTCAGGCGACTTCATAGAATATTTGCGCATGCTTGGTTTCAGCACCGACAAGTATTCTGGTCAGTGGAGTCTCGCACTGGCCTATACGCTTTCTTCAAGACCGTCTGCGATATGTACGATCTGCTACCGGCAGAAAACTACAAGCTTCCTCCTGAGGCTGAGGGCTTAGAGCCCGGCGCTTCTAACAAGGAAGAGAAACGACCTACGGTGACGTCTATTGTCAAGTCGAACTCTCACCATAATGATGACTTCGAACACGAAGATGATCGAAGTAGTTTACACGCGCGTAGGAGCAATACGGCAAGACACTCGAGTAGACCATCAACCGGCAGTGCCGTGACAACCGTCATTGAAGAGGGCGAAGACGAGCATTCAGAAGTCGCCGATAAGCTAAAGGAGATGCGCATTTCAGCTAAAGATATTACCGAGGAAGAATCTGAGGTAGAGGTCCCTGTCATTGTTGAGGGCGACATAGGCATAGACACACGAATCACTGAGTCCTCTGCTCGCCCGGGCGATCCTGACCGCCCTCAAAGTGACCCCACTGGCGAGGTTGCCCAAAATACCGCATTGACCAACGTGGAAACATCTCAAATACCCAGTGAGCAGGTCGCAGATGAGTCACAGCCTAGGGCAGATAATGAGGATAAACAAAGCACCCCGGCGGCCACCGACTCAGTCCCTGAGGAGGCGGCCTCAACTACAGCGGAGAATGCTAGCGAAAATGCCGCGGAATCAAGCCCTAAACAAGGCGAAGAAAAGACAGACCCCGAGGATTCGAGCACGGGATAGGACCCCGTAGCCCGCCTTGAGCGATTGGAACAAGATAATGCGGACCCGTTAAGTGTAGATGAGATCATCCGACAAAGCAAATCCGTTGAACGACAGATGCGACGCTTGAGAGCGTCCAGAAGTCTGCCCAATGATAAAGAACCCGATGCGGATACAAAACGCATCATTGAGCGTACAAGAGAGGTTACGAACAGGCTGCGCCAGAGCCAGAGTCGACAGCAGCGGTCCAAGCCTTAAGGCAGCCCTCGAATACTACTACAGTAGCTGGGAACAGGCGTGGAACCGGTATCAAGGTTGGACGAGTTTTATGGGGTGGCGTTATATCGTGGTTCGTGCTCACGCGCCTTTCAGGAGTCATTGGACCGTGTATAATATCAATTTTGGAGGCTTGAGGGGGCAAATAGGGATTATGTTAGACACCTATGTACGAATAACTTACGACGACCTTATAAACCCTGTAATTATATTCTCACAATTCTCAGCATTGCATAAGTGCACTGTTCATTAACGTACTCCCACTGAGGAGTCCTGCTTGCTCATATGGAAGCCGCGAGAGGATTAAAGCAAGAAGTGGAATTTGGAAAGAGTGATATGGAGGCCAACCATTATCTACCACGGAAACAAGCCGTTCGCATCTGATGAAGGGCAAGAGAACGACTACAGAAAGAAAGGGTCGATAACCTGAGTTTGGCTTAATAGTTAAGTTGAACACGCGCGCCTATCAGCCTTAACTCTCGACACATAGTAGTGAAACCACTATATATTCGCAGAATCAGGTCTTTGACATCCACGCTACCTAATTTGTAAGCAGCAGCAGCCATCTTTCCTATATTCTTTCCGCCCTTTCTCCTCTTCCTTTGACCACACATGAGTTTAAAGCTATGAAAGCTGAGTAAGGTGTGAGAAATGTGAGAGGAGAGGCGTTGGGCTGTTGTAGAGGTTTTAGGAAGTCATCAATGCGAACGCATGACGGCGGGCCTAACCTTCGTGGACCATAATTATTCTCCCTGTTATTTCGCTTTCTCCCTTGGATGAGCGCATGTATGTCGGTATGTACCGTATTGGACTTCCCGTAGGTGTGCGTGATTGTATGTATGTCCGGCTACAATAGCTATTCCTCATAATCGCGATATAAGTTATAACTAGTACTAACAGGGGCTTTAAACTGTATGGCTGTGTTATTTAAAAATGGCATGGTGGGTAGCGTTCAAGCTCTCCTTATCTGGCCTGGCCATATACAATGACAGTCATGAACATCTAGGTGTAACAGTAGATATCCCGTCCGGCCCTATCGTAGCCTAGCTTAGTTCTCGACAATATTAGAAGCATGATGTTTGTGTAGGTAAGTGTACGGCCAAGAGAAGAGACCCTTCCAAGAGAGTCGAGAACCAGCAGTCCACCCACATGCTACCCTGAGTGATTATAGTCTTTTCCTTCTCGTGCAGAAATATTGTCCATAGCCTAGTCCCGCTTCCCCCTACTCCGTTATGACAAATACAACGCTTATCAACACGTTGACCCATCCTAATCATAACAATGTGTTATCTTAGGCTTGCGTCTGTGGTACGCATAGTAGCAGACACCTAAGCTCGGCATATACGCAAACGCCACAAGAACACCGTGCATGCCTTATCCGCATGATATTAATGCACTTCATATTTGGACACATGTGAGGGGATAATCTTAGATCTTTGGTGTTTGGGCCCTATTTTGTTCTATCGAATGTGGCAGCTTGGCCCTTACTCACGGCCGGGTTAGGCATACAAGTGTGAACCGGATGCGTAGTCGCAGTCGATCAACATGTCAGTCAAGTCGAACAGACTATTGTTATGCAACAAAAGTCTGGCATGACGTCTTGTGAACCAAGTTGTGCAAAAGGGGCGTAGGTGTTACCGCAAGGTTACAGTGACGAAATCTAGCATATGAAACTTGGGGGTGAGGTCTACGCATGGACATAGTTCCATCAATTGGGATGTGAGTATCAGATATCAGGGCTCTCTTATATTCCTCATACAGCCCTGCAGCATTCTAAGTATATTCACCTGGCAGATTCATCCATCTATAATACTGTTACACATCTGTGGAGGAGTTCCTCCGGTTCCTGGGCTGCTCGCCAAGGGGATGGGATGGAGACGGGATGGGGTGGAATAGGATGAGATGAGATGAGAACCCCTGTGGATATCACTAAACAGTTCATGTACGTTCATCCGGCATGCATACCGCGTTGTGATGCGAGCCTAGGAACCGGGTTTGTGGGCGGTTCACACAAAAGACGGGGGCCAGTGACACCTTGGGGGTTGCGGTGATGTACCGGCAAGACGGGGACACCGATCTTCGACATGTATATATGGGTAGTATATACGATCCACACGCTACGACGGGGCAGGTCTAAGTTATGGCCTCAGATCTTGCACCCCTGGCCCGTCCCGCATCCAGGTTGCATGACGGCTCGGTCCATAGCCGAACCGTCTCAGAGGATCGGATGTCACGTTTCAGGCCCCGGTCAGTTCGGAGATCGTGGCTTGTCATAACACTCAATGCCGTTTGGCGTCCTCTTTGTGCAACTTCAATTTTAACCACGCCTGGTTCGCTATGGATTGCATAGGTTCCCTCGCATGTCATCTATAGGTTTAATCGAAACCGGGCCGGCGGCGTGTCGACTTGTCACATTCGTATGCGGATCAACGCCTGCCCTGAACATTCTTCCCCTTGCCGCTTGTAGCTGTGCTGGTACTACTGGGCTCCCTAGGGCTCGGACTGTCGTCGCTGTCGAGGCGCATATTGGAGAAGATGGCGCTTATCTCTCGGAGAGCTTCCGTCTGCTGTGTCACCAAGCTTCCGTTATGTGCATCAGCGAAAGCTCGGATTTTTCGAAGAGTCGGAGATAAGCCCTCATCATGGGGGAGCCACCACTGGATGCATGACGGATCTTCGAACAGCTCGGCCATACGGCTGCGCATCGTCGTTGGGAAAATATATCTAACAATACGTAAGTTCAACTGCTCGCTCAAACGATACAGGTAGGTTCATATGCGAAGCACAGAAGATATCATATCAACAACGTCAATTCCCGGATCGAGAAAGGCAGAAATGATATCATGCATCACGTTGAGGCAGGCAAATAAACGCTTCGGGCCAGTGAACAAGAGAATTCAACTCACCCTGCTGCTTCCAGAAACGCATACTTCCTCCTAGTCCACATGGAGTATTTTGAGTCCCGAGGAATGAATAGACACGAGAGAGCAAGGCAAGGTTGGACTGCGATAAGTGCGCCGGGTGGAGCATCTGGCCAGCGTTGTACAGTTTCGTACATCTTGCAGGCCGAGAGCGCAAGCTGTCTCAGTTCATTAGAGGGTTCCTGTTGCAGTCCATAAGCCTCTTGGCGACTCATGTGCATTATAATGATCGAGTGCCATTCCATCAGTAGGATTGTGGTTGAGAACAAGGGATGGTCGTAGAGAGACCCTGGCTGGTAGGGATCTACAACGTCGGCGTCCGTTAGGGGACGCTTGTATTGGAAGTTGGTGACGAGGAAATTCGCATCGGTGATGGCAGGATCAAGTCGGTTCTTCCAATCCCATAATCGCACTGAGACTTGATCATACTCCGTGGAATAGTTTTCGGCTGATATCTGCCCCTGGCTGTACTTGGCATATAGGAGGGACATATCCATGGATATCAAGCGCAGGGTTGTGGCTTGTATCTCAGTCCTCCAAGCCAAGTCATCCGGGCTGTCTTCCACTTTGCTTTCGCTTCCCTCCACAGCGGATACGAACCATTCTCTCGGCAATGCTGTCCCAAACCCTCCCATCATCGCGACGGAAACGTCAAACCTAATATACCACGTCAGCAATGCGCTAAGAGGCGACTGCTTGATGGTTTCTGGTGAGTAAAGCTGGGTCAGAATCTGTAGCGCGCCCGTTTGGTGGAACGATAGGTTCACCCAGTCACCCAGGTATTCCTGGACGTAGATTAGCATTGCCATTGGCTCTGACTTAGCGCAGCGGCTCTTACCTCTATTGTGGCGAGTTGAAGCATCGTTAAAAGACTAGGTAGTCTGTGGCCATCTCCGCGCTTGAGACTGCTTAGAAGTATCGTAACGCTTTTATTGTAGTATCCCAGAAAGTCCTCAACTTTGCCGTGGGGTTGACGAAGCGTCGCATGGTATGCCGAAAACCCAACTACTGCATATAACAATGCATCGTTTCCCTCACGTATGGCGATGGAAAGCAAGGTGGAACTAAAAAAGCCGTCTGGATCGTTTGGTATTCCATAGCTATAGTGTGTGATATTTTCGCAAAAATAATCCAGGTAGAATTGTATATCTGTGTGAAGATGAGCCCACTTTGAGCTAGTCGTGCTCGGCTGTAGCGCTGCATCGGACGATTGGATGGTCGTGCTTAAGCTAGCGGAAGTTCCTGTAGAAACCGCTGGGGACGAGCTCTTGGTTCCTTCCAGCGAAGGCGTCTCCGAGTTCTGACGATTCCCTGCCCTTGGTAACTGGAAAGCCGACGCTGCGCGTTCACGATGTGATCCTTTCGTCGACTGTGGGTAATGGGGGGAGTGTACGATCGGTTCCTCTTCGTCACGAATCGATTCGAGCTTCGTTTCCTTTTCAAAATCCTCCAGATCGTCTATTGACGATTCCGGGCTCGCCTCTTGGCTGGTCAATGATGTTTCTTTCGACGTATTGCTGTTGGCAGGTCCTTTCGTTGCGGATGGATCTGGGTAGATACACTCCCTCTTCCCCTTGCGACATCCTAGTGGAGTTAGTTACACGTGTTTTTGAATCTGACTACGGGATTGTTCTCACGATCACATATGGGGTGCTTCTCATCACACTGTCCTCATATTAGCATGCCTCCCAAGTATGCTTGACCTCAGGATCTCCTACCTTGACTCGTCTGCTTCTGCAGGTGTAGCATCCTGATCGTGTTCTACGATGTTTTACGTGATCTACTCCTGGTGTTGACCTCTTCTTGTTTCGGTTGTTCTGTGGTTTTGGTTCTTGGAACACGATAGGCTCTGGGAAGCCAGTATAGTACCCGAGATTTTGATATTGGTTGGTCAGAGGTCGAGGATGGCTTCCCATTTGCGGGGGTGGATGGGGAGGATAGTGGGCGTCCTCGACGTCTTGAAGATTTGCATTCGGCGAAATCCCCATCTCCGCCATTGAGGAGGACGATATCTGGTAGAATCCACTCATTGGCGCTATACCTAATCATGTAGACCACGACAACAGTGTGGAATTTGGCTGGGCTAACGCGGCTTAAACAGTGTCTTCAGCGTTATGCTGCTCCTTCACAAAGACGGCGATGTCCCCGCCGTCCTTATATCGGCGCCGCGGGCAGTGCCCCAGTCGGAACTAGACCGGGTGCGCCAGAAATAGAATACTGCCAAAAGGTAAGTAGATAATAAAAACTATTGGATTCGAGGACAAAATATTGGAAGCCACTGTAGATTGTGATAGATTTAAACAGGAGCTAAACACACAGGCACAGTCGACCGGTTCAAGAGGAGTATACAGCAGGTTCGAGCGGGAGGTAGCTGATCCTTCAAGAACCCAATTGACGCGCTCGATGTGGGCAAGGTTGACCACCCCCCAGCTGATTGGGGTGTAGGACCTGGTCTGCTGTAGCGGCTCGGATCACCCCGGCGCTTCTCGAATGAACTAGGTCCCCGAATGGGAGATCAGACGAGGAATGGACGCGGAAAGGGCAGGGAAGAGAAATGAGCGATCTATAGGCAAAACTTGCTATAGCTAGACGCACTACCGTCGCTATAGGCCGAGAGCCCGGTAGGTATTGTATTTTCCCCAAGTTGAAAGGTAATAGGGCCGCAGTAGCAAGTGTCTGTGGTCGAAGTGAAGATGTGGTGGGGCTGTTGCTGTCTATCTTGCATCATTCCCCTGCTGTTACACGCCCTCTTATTAGGAGAAGCCTGCCAAAGATCTGCTGACGGGATCGTTACTGTAGGTGTAGCGGGGCCTTGTGTATGGTGGTCGGCGAGTTGATTCCTACACTCTCTGCTAGTGTACTATAGATGGAGCTGATCGGACCTTGTTCTTGACCGTTGTGGAGGATGAGAGAGGGTCAAGGTCTCGGTTTCTCAGCACACACCAATGAATTGAAGTAGGCGATGCCCTCACAGCCGCGCAACTCCGCCTGGGGAAGTGGCCAAGAGGTTGAAGATGGGGTCCTATGATAGTTGATCTTGCAATACTCCACAACACTACGTCAACCTTAGAATAGTCCTGCAAGACATACGTTAAACCCGACCTCTTCAGAAAAAGCAGTTCTGCGGGACCTCCCGGCAGCCCAACGTCCGTATCTTGGTTGACTATGAGGAAGCTGGCAAGGTTGCACGTACAGAAGAGCTACACGTTCGATGAATGACCAAATGCTGATCCGAACAGGGTGGGGGCAATGTTGCCAAGCACACGATTTCGCCCCCTTCGACTCCAGATCACTTTGTGATGGCCAACTGGATCTGCCACATGCCAGGGTGACGATACGGGGTCTACCTAGAAAGTGAGTTTCGACTTGCTCCCTACGGTACTAACACACAGGCGAGCTTCGTCACGAATCTGCCATCAATTGTTCATCCGGGGGCGATGCGGGCTTTTGCTGGACCTGCATTCTGGAGCTCTGGAAGGTCAGAGGTCGAAGCGTAGCTGAGGTTGGGGGAAAGGCGGATTGTGTCCGTGCAAGGGTTCTTCAACCCGGAGGACCATCGTCTTGGTAAAGACTTTCTGCTGTACACTGGGCAATGTAATACCGACTTAGTATTAGTATGCAGCAGGTGACAGTCTGCAACAGGGTCTAGCCATGGTGTATATGAGACAGGGGTAAAGCTGTGATGCCACGGTCATGGACACGCTAGGATTTCAACATTGCCGTACCATTCTCCTCGCTGCTACACTGAGTACCTGTCTAGGTCCTCAGTCTTCCGCGCTAGCGTACGTGCCGCTTGAGAGGGAGAGTTCAGCTCATACACCAAGTGTATTATATATCGATTTTATATTGGTATTACTATTAATTGCGTGCATGAATTTTCAGCACATGAAATTGACTACAGATGGAAGTTGTTTCTTTCTCGATCGAACCTCTCTCACTGACTTAAGTAAGTAAGTAGAATCAAAGTTACCGTATGAGTAGTGCCACATCAAGAGGTAGAGATGGCAGGTTCTACTGTCCATTGTTTGATCTACAGAGCTTGCCAGGAGACGCCCAGCACGACTGAGTACAAGCAGGGTGTGTAAGAAGCTTAGTACTCGGTATGAGACGGTGGCAATGATTTGATGAGAGACTAGCAGCTATGTAACGAGCTTGCCACTCTGCCACGCCCTAAACGCTGCATAAAATATTACACTATGTTGAAATCGTTGTCAAGCATCTTAATTCTGTGTATGGAGTATTTGATGGGGACTACAAGACACTGTGTGGACTTTTGAGATAGCGACCCTGTTACACTATTGATGTAATTCATTGTCTCTACTATGTAAGTTGAGTCTCCAACTAGGAATGAGACAAGAGGGTTTACGACTTTCGAGTAGGTAGCATGTGACAGATAAACAGAGAATACATCCAGGATACAGACTTGTAGCAGGCAAGCTAGCTGACCTCGGTGCTTGCAACTTCTAGGTAGACACGACGAATCAGCACCCTGGCCGTTCAGCAGCTGTACCTTGACCATGTTAATCTTTGATGGGGCCGAAAGGTAGTGCTATCTTGATAAATGGTGTGGTTCCTGTGTGGATGTCGACATCTCGGAGATGTGGTAATGAATCTGCTGATTGGTCTCCTAAGGTGTGTCTGAACAAGGGCCCTGTAGCTAGCAATATACTTAGCTACACGCTGTGCCGACTATTCAATTTGAAAGCCTTCCTTCGTACTTTACTTTGTGAAGCCACATCTTACGGAGAAATCATTTCAATTGGAGTCGACTTCAAAGCCTATGGCTAGAGCCGTATCATATTTGCATTGAGAACTTGACTATGAGGGTTAGCAAGATGAATAGACAGTGTAGGCGTATTTACATGTACACAGTCGCCTGAAAAGCTTACCTGTATATCAAATAGAGATCAGTGAAAAGCTAGTCTCATGCTGTATGCTCCCTAGTCGGTATGTGTTGACTGATGAAGTCGTTCAGGGATGAGATATCATTTTGCCATCTTCTACCGCCCATAATTTTACAGAAACCCCCCAGAGGAAGAAGATACCGAGTAGGTACTTACTGAGTCTAAAGGACTTTTTTTGTTTTGTTTTCGTTTTTTTTTTTTTTTTTCGCGTGGAGAGCCCCTGTACCAGGAGCCTTTTACTTAATATGACCACATATAGGGTATACTGTAAATATGCCTCCCTACCTATTCACAGGTGCCTAGAACTCAACCTAATACGTTATCGACATACTAGTACTTAGGTTGGTTGTTAGTGTAGATAGTTGTTGAGAATTCCACGCAGGACAGTTCTTCTCCGAACAAGCCAAGCCCTTACCACGTGTTAGATGTCGCACTAACTTCCTTACTAAACCCGTAAAGTGAAAAATATTTAGGATAGCTTTGCGCCCTCGGCGCCTTGAGCATGTCTCAATGACAACTTATATGCATAAAGCAGAATCTAGATGTATGTGGTTAAAGCGACAAAAATATTGTACCTAGCCTGATTATTTCCAGCCATTTCCGTCATTATCGTGGTGTAAGTGCAGCATTTGGAGTACAAATTGGCGTACTATGTAAGACAAAGAAGATTCCTCTTATGCATAGATCAGCAGATGCCTTCGGTTTATTATCACGAGAAGCCGGACGCTAGTACGAACTAAAGTTGGGACGAATATAGTTTGGATATGTAAGCGTTGCATACTATGAATATCTACTATCGACAGAGCTATGGGATTGACTCGCTTCTCATCCGATTCCTGACGCCTATTGAATACTTGGTATTGAGAGGAGATGTTCCATACCATAATACATGATATAGTCATATATATTGTTAATCCGAGATTGATGACATCGTGCAATATTACACTAAGTAAGTATTGGCGATGAAGGGCCAAACTCCAAGTAGGTACCTGTACGCTACTCCGCTGCCTAGCCAGGCACGCTATACTAGGACAGGTTTCTGGCTACTTTCAGGGTATCCAGTGCCGAGGTAGGTAACGGCAATTTCCTTTCAAGTCGGGGGTTGAGTTACGGTCCCCCTGATTACGAACCTTGGTAGCGTACTATGAAAGCAAAGAGAGCGCACTGAGGTTCATAAGGACGTGTGTATACGCAGACCGGAGCTGCAGTCTTTGCGGTGGTATATCACATACTTAGGTTAGTAGATAAGAGAACAAGTTATTCAAGAAAGACACCAACTCGAGCCTTACGTACATGCGAATCACACAAACCAAACGCGATGTGCTGCCCTACAACCCTAACCCCTTAGTACGATGCAATATTCGATATGACTCCCAGTCCGCTGGGAAGCGCCCAACCCCTCGAATCATACTCCACAGCAACCTGTACGTAGTAATTGGCCATGCAGACGTGATTTTTCAGCTGCCCAGCCAGTACTAGGCCGGGAGGCAATCCCCTCTTTGCCAAGCAAGGCGCCGCTACTCCGCATGGCAGCCCGACTTTAGTGGACGCTTGACGGGGCTCGATACATGGCAAACCCTGGCCTCCACACTTCGAATATGCGTGTAGCATTTGTCATGTTACATTATTCCTGTGATTCTCGTATCAGTATTCGTGCCGCCTGCCTGCGAGGGCGCTTCGTCCGCCGGGGCGCTTTGTGGGATTCCCCTTGGCACGCCAAATGGCAGTTTACGAAGGATGAAGAAGGTCGGGACGCTCGGCAACGCTGAAACCCGCAGCCCTGGGAAATATGTAACGCCAAAACTTAGGCTTGTGAAATCTCCATTCTGAGTCCCGTCCACTAGGCTACTTACAACTAGAGTTCATTTAGTGTAACAAAATCTTGCTTGAAGACAAGGCTTGAGCAAGGCTATGATCAGGAGTGATGGCAGAGAATATCGTAATGTACCTAATGTAGCATGATGGACAGTAAAGTATTCATCTGTGTGTACGGTATGCCGGAGTCCCAATCTGTAGACACGCATATACCAATGCTACCTCATCAGTACCTACTTACTATGTAGTACGTATAGGCAGAAAAGAACGTGAACAACAGGAGTAGGTAGGTAACCTTAGGTAGGACGTATCTGTACAGTTTATGCAGCCAGCCAAGACCCGCGTGATGTAGGAATTGTGCTGCAGTTTTTACCTTAGATGTGTACACAACATCGAATGAATCGCAATAGGTATCCCTGTCATAATCCTATAGTTTAGTTTACCTATAACCATGAGTACTTTCCAATGTTATGTGAAATATATACCAAGTACGCAGTAACGCTTGCAGCTATATTACCAAGGAGGCATGTACTGGCATCAGCCGGTTCTCCAAGTTGGTACGATAAATTGACGCACTTGCTGAGGTGGGTTATCTACTAGATGGTGAGCCTCATTGGCACCTCTGTCCTCCCGGCTTAAGAACCCGAGGCATATGTGGACAATTATAAATGAGCCTGGCCATTGGTACATGCCTACCGGAATCCTGCGAAATTTATCCCAAGTATGTCAGTACCAAATACACTTGGCAGCGGCCGAAGACGGGGTCCGATATCTCCGATGAAGGAGGTAAATTATGCTGGAATAAACATTCGAGTTTCGGCTTTCCTCTAGAATCGCTGTATCCTCTCACCTGTCCTAATGTATAATAAACGTATTACCTAGCATGTTGATTTGAAAACTTAGCATGCCACGGGGTAGTGTAGGTCACCTCCCAGCCCAATACTTATAGATATATAAGTATATATTGCTGAGCATTCGATACACCATGAAAGGCATAACACTGTGTAACAAACAATAGTATCCAATTTGAAAATAGATAACTCATGTGATGTGGTATTGGCCATTCGCATTCACCTACCTACCTTGATTATTTTCTACTTAAGGGAACGAATACTGGGTGCCAGAACATATCGTGAAAGGGGGTACCAAGTACCAAACCTCTCTCACTCCCTCTCCTCTCTTCCTCTTCATCCCTCCGTCCCTCCCTCCGCCCATCCTTCATTACACGTACGCAAGTGCTTCCACTATCTCTACTACGCTATGCAATGATACTCCCTGGTTGTACTTAGTAGATGCAAAGACAGTTCTATCTGTACTGCCTATAGTATAACCCATAGTACAACCCATAGTAAGTATAGTATGATATACCAGAGTGCAGTGTGACGGCAGGTAAGGATGGGTATAGTACCACATCTACACCACTGCGGCTCTTTCGGCGTCATACACGGGTTACCAACCCAAGAGAATGCTAGTCTAATTTTAGAACAAAACGCTACACACCATCACAGCATCGAGACCATTTTCCAGATTCTGCCTACATACTTTACATTACATGTGCATGTATCTGCATTAAGCACTAGTCTAGCACCTATAACTGCTACGCATAATACAATTGCACTAGGGTCCTAGTGTATACACTATACTAAGTAGTGTATGTATTTTACCTGCAGTGCCGGACACTAAGGCAAAAGTTCCGATGACTCGGCCAGAACTTGCGGCTTCTGCTTGGGGCTCCCTGGCTCTGGCACTCTGCACAAGGACTGCTACCTATGTATACATATAGTAGGTAGTAGGTATGTAATAAGGCGGACTACAGTAAGTAAGAATCACCGAAGGGCGCATTGCCTGGGCTTATCTACTTGCCTACTGTACAGTAAGAGTAATTGTATCGATACTTAAGTAGACCGAACGGTTTATTGCCTACCTAGTTACCTAAGTACATTCTAGGTAATATATCGAAGATGTGATAAATAATTGATTTTCTCAATGTCGCAACGTCTCAATAGTTAGGATTTGTGAGTATATCCATGAAAAGCTATGTCGTTGCAGTAGGAGATTCCAAAGGACAATGTGGCCTGACTCGGGAACAAAGGAGTTGTTACAAGCGCGCGCCGTCACGTGGGCGGCCCCTGACTTGTTTCTCAAGTGTCTCAACTGAACTTTTCCTCAGGGCTCAGGGCAAAAAGAGGCACGACATTCTGTGTAGTACTGCATTCAAATAGTATCAATCAAGTAATACAGAAACAACTCATTCAGCTGTGTCTTGGCAACAAAACTGTCCACCTTTCGCCAGACCATGTACTGAAAAGACCGTCGTAAAACCGCTTCTTGCTGGCCAAGCAGCTAAAAACAACCACACAAAAAACCAGAGGTAGATACCTAGATCGGGTAGATGAAGAGCGATCATTAAGGCGCGGCACACATCACACTCCTTGCAACCATGGCGAGCCAAACCGTGCTAGGCGATTTGAATCTGGACTTCGGCTCGATTGTCCTGCTCTTTATCACGGTATGCGCCTTCATGGTCCCCGTCGCCGTGGTCCTGCCACCCGTGCCGGTCCGCAAGAGCGACGCTCTCCTGCAGACGCACACTCCAGCGGGTGTGTCGAAGGCCAAGAGCGCCCTCAACAACCAGCACACGGCCGACCATGCGCCTAGAGACGGGGGGTCGGCTATTGTGCAGAGCCTGTACATCTACCCCGTCAAGTCCTGCCGGGGCATCGAGGTGACGCGCAGCAGGGTGCTTCCTCAAGGGCTGGAGTTCGATCGCCTGTTCACATTTGCACAGCTGAAGAGCCCCTTCCCCGTGTCCCTTGACTCGTCCGACAAGGACAAGAACCAGCACACATGGCAATTCATCACGCAGAGGCAGTTTCCGCTCCTTGCGACTATCAAAGTGGATCTGTGGCTGCCCGATGAGATGAAGCTGCGCAGGCAGTCGATAAAGCCTACCAGGGAAGCGTTTCTAACCTTGAGGTTTCCGTGGAAAGAGAACGGGTGGCGCGGTCTTTTGTCCACCGTAGCGGCCAAGCTCGCCAGAGGCGCTGCTGCGCAGCCCGAGAAGGAAATCATGCTCCCCATCGACTTCCCCTCCGTAGCCGAGATCAAAGCGAAGGGGTACACCTTTGAAGATGTCAAGATCTGGAAGGAGGTTGTCAGGGCCCTCAACGTGTCCACCGAGCTCCCCAGGGAACTGATGCTTTATCTGGGTGTGAGCAATAAGCTTGGCCTATTCCGTGTCGACCCCGCCGGACTCCGCGAAGTCTATAGATGCGCGCCGCTGAAAGATGAGGCAGGGTATCAACCCGTTACCGGATTTCAAGATGCCGTGAGTATTCAAAGGATTGCACGGCTTACCTCATGAAGCAAGCTAATTATACGCAGTACCCGCTGCACATGCTCACACTCGGCAGTGTACAGCAATTTAGTAAAGAGGTGCCAAAGGACGAGGAACTCAAAGAGCTCGACGGTGAGTAATTAACGAAGCCATGCACTTCCTATCCAGGCCATGGCTAGACTGAAGAAGTCCATCTGCTGGGTAGCCTTATGGCATGGAAGCTTCCGACAATTTCAATACATTCTATTCTACTTCTGAAATGATAGTAACTGACTCACATCATTGTAGTGCGTCGATTCCGCGCGAATATCATTCGTAAGTTTTTCCCAAATACAATGAGCGAGGAACCAACCCTACTAAACTTGTGTTATATAGTGTCTGGTGTCCCCGCTTACGACGAGGAGACATGGAAAATGGCACGTTTCAAGCCTGGAAAATCGGGTTTGTACAACGACACTGTATTCCACGTCTCGTGCCGGACAGTTAGGTACGTGTTAAATCCACAAGTTCGCAGACTCAGAAGATGACTAATGTTCTTCGCGCCAAAGATGCAAGATGCCCAACGTGGACGCTATCACAGGCCATAGACATCCACGAGAGCCAGATCGCTCTCTCCGTGCTCTGCGGAATGTCGACGAGGGCGCTCCGCTAAACGGCTGCCTCGGGATGCAGCTGACACCACTATTCGAGGTGGACCAAACTCCCAGTTCCCAGGCCAAGGCTGAGTCGGGCTTGCTCGGTGACGACAACCCTGACGATGGGCGGTCTTCTTGGGTCGCTGTTGGCATGAAGGTGGAGGTCGAGGAGAGGGGGAAACATGTGTACATCAACCAATAGACGAAAACATAACCGTTCTTACGAGCATGGACTTGTGGACATATATCTCTTAGACTACTGTATACAAATATGGTTGTAAGATATGAGCACAGGGAAATAGACAGAATAGACATTAAGAAGTTATATTTGCAAGAAAACGAAATATGAACAACAGCGTCATGGTTAATGTATGTATATATTTCTCGACACCCAGGCAATCGCTCAACCCAGCCAAATGAGGGGAATCCGCCTCGAGTGTCTTCTACAAAAATTACTCAGGAAGTAGGTAAACAGAAACGTGCCCCTATACGCTATATATCGCCAGCGCCTAACAGACGACCTAATACCAATAAACAACAACCCTTTTCGAACCCGCGCCTAGAGTAAGTAATAACCCGAGCCCCTTCCGCGATCCAACAACCGACAACCCATGCGTACGTATATCATATCTTCATCAGCAGTCCGTTACAGTGCATCGATCTGCACTCATCAGCAAACGAGACTGTGTATTCTATACACCAACCCGATCTGACACTACAACACTCTCTCAGACTCATTCCGGAGTGCAGTTCAGCAGTGTCGACTAATCCTTTGATGGTCTTATTTGAAGTCCGCCGCCGTCAGCGCTTGGACCATACTCGTGCCCTCAGAGAACCGGGTGCGGAAGATGCGGTTGGCGTTCTGGAACATGCCGTCCTTGAGCGACACGACGATGAACTGAGAGCCCTTGAACCGCGTCTTGATCAGACGGCCGATGTTCTGGGTATGCGACAGATCTAGCGCGGCATCAACCTCGTCAAGGATGTACATGGGGGCTGGCTTGAATTGCAATAGCGCCATGATGAGAGAGAGGGCGACGAGGGATCTTAAGTGTTTGATGTCAGTACAAGTTTGAAATCGATTAAATAACCCCATATCGGATATGATAAAGGAAGAAGAGTAAGGAGGAGAGAACTAACCGTTGGCCACCACTTAATTCTGTCAAGCTCTGCTTCCACACTTTACCTAAGCAGACCTTGACCTCGAGGCCTTCGTTGATGGTCTTGCCTTCTGGTGGATCCAGCTTGGCAAAGCTGCCGCCGGGAAGCAGCTCGGAGAAAATTTGGCCAAAATCGCCGTTGACCTTCTGCCACGTCTGCAATAGAGCTTTCTTCTTGTAGTCGTCGAGACTGATGATGGTTTCCTCGATCTTGCGCTTGTCGCGGATGACAGTCTTCATCATGGTCTTGAGGCCGACCTCTTTCTTCTCGACGCTATCGATCATGTTCATGACCTTGGGGTTGATCTTCTTCTTCATGCCCTGGAACCGCTCCGTCAGATTCTTCAGGGTGGCCTTGCACTCGGCTATGTTCTGTGACTGGAAGTCGTAGGGAGTGCCAGCGCGGCCGAACTTGTCCTTTTCGTCTGCAATCCACTCGTGCTCTTGCTCCATGTGTGCAACGGCCTGCACGGCATTTTGCTGCTCCTTGTTGAACTTGTCGACCTGGTGACCCAGCTTCTGCATTTCTAAGCTCTCTTCAGCAATGCGTGCATTCTTCGACCGAGTGGCATCTTCTAGGGCACGCAGCTCATCATCGAACCCAGTGAGCTTGGCGCGCTCATTATCGAGTTCTGCCTGGGCCATGTCGTGGATCTCTTGCAGGCCGGTCTGCTTCTTTGTCAAGTCCTCAATCTCTTCTTGTTGAGCTTTGATGGCTAATTCAACCTCGAGAAGCTGCTCTCTCGCAGCGGCAAGATCAGAGGACACCTGCTCGGAATCCAGCTGTGCGTTCTGCAATTCTTTCTGCAAGGTCTTCACAACAGTGGAGTTTTTGGCTAATGTATTTCTTAGCTTATCAAGGGATGCTTGAAGTTCGACCAGCTTTGAATCTTTGTTGTTCTCAAAATCCTTCATGTCCTTCTCTATCCGCTTAACATCAACACTCGCTTCGGCCTGTCTCTTTTTGGCCTCGGCACTATCGGTTTTTAGTTGGGTGATGTTTTGTTTCATATTCTCAACCTCTTGAATGATTGAAGATGAAGAGTTGCCGCTAATCTGCTCTTCCGCTAGTTTGATTTCATGGGCCTTGAGATCAAGTTCCTGCTTGATCTGACGAGCCTGATCAAGTTTGGACTTCTCACGTGCTATATGAGCTTGAATCTCATGTAGAGCAACTTCGGTTTCCTTAAGTTGGCGGTTGACATCGTTCAACTTTTGAAGAGTAACGAGTACACCACTCGAAGAGGGAGAGCTACCGCCAGACAGGGTACCAGATGGATCATACGCGTCGCCCTCGAGTGTTATACTCCGCATTCGCACGTTAGGATCAAATGTCACCTTCTTTGCTGTATCGGCATCCTCGCAAACAAGAGTGTTCCCAAAGACATATTCCATAGCAGCAGAAACCTCTTCATCGTAGCCAACGAGCGAAAGTGCAAGGTCTACTTTGCCCGGTGCGATTCTCTGTGCCGTGGCGATGGTCTGGGCAGAAGCTTTGAATGCCGCGATCTTGTTCAATGGAATTATCGTAACCCGCTTTCGTAATTTGCCTCCTTGAAGGAGCTGGGTTCCTGTCACTTCGCTATCCACAACGACATTGTAAAGGCGACCACCAGCGCAGATCTCCAAAGCAGTGCCAGCCTTCGTATGATCTTTATCTAGAGTGAAAAGTTGGGCGACAAGGCCTTTGACCTTAGAACGGTCAAAGTTTGGGATTGGATCGGCGTAGTTAAAGTCAATATTGGCGACTTTGCGTTTGAGCGAGTCGGCTTCCTGCCGGAGGCCTCGGATAGATTGCTGTAATGACGACTGCTTCTTGTACATTTCTTCCTCTTGGCCCGGCTCGAAGCCCAACTTTCCGAGCTGCGCTTCCAGCTTCTGCGATTGTGCTCGCAAGCCTTCTAGCTCGCTCAGGAGGCCGGCGTTTTGCTCCTTTGCCTTCTTCGCGCGCGGCTCTTCCTCCTTGATGCGCTTTTCTAAATGCGCAATCTTTATTTTCGCTTGTTCTTGCTCAGTAGCAGCAGCCGCTACTCGATTTCTTGCGTCCTGCAATTGACCCTGGTATCCGCTTTCCTGGCCTTCTTTGGATGCAACACCAGTTTGTAGTGTCTGAAGTAATTCTTCTTTTGACTCTGCTTCCTGAGCTTGCTTCTCGTTCTCATCTTTCGCCGTGTCATACCTGGCCTTGATCTTTTCGTAGGCTTTCGTCTTTTCCTGAAGAGTTGCCTCTAGCTCCGCAACATTTTTCTGCACGCCGACCTTGCGCTCTTCCTCCTCCCCTTTGCTGGACTTCTTCAGATCCATCACGGTAGCTAATCGAACCAACTCATTGGAATGCTTCTTTACACTATCTTCTAGTGCTTGGGCTTTACCACCCTTCTTTAGTTCTTTGTCACGTTCCGCCCTCACCCTCTTGACATCTTGTTCAAGGTGAGATATTTCACTTTTGAGTCTTGTGCTAGATTCCTCAAGGCCCTTCTGGCGTTGCTTCTTCTGCTCCAGATCTGTCTCAGATTGCGCTAACCGTTCCTGATATCTGACGTAGTCGTGAGCCACTACTACTCGTGTTAACCTCTCGAGGTCGTTTTGTGTTTGTTGGAAATCCAAGAATGCGCGCTTCTCTGTCCTCAGTTTCTCGAGCTTGGGTTCAATCTCCTCGCGCAGGAGCTCTGTTATCTCTTGTAGCTTCATTTCTTTTTTTGCCATAGTTTTTAGAGCTTTATCCCTCCTGTCTTCAAACATTCTTGTGCCGGCAGCCTCTTCGATCATGGCGAGAATCTCGACCGATTTCATGTTGAGGACCTTTGTGATTTTGCCCTGCATAATCAAGAAATTAGGGTTGTTGATATTGAGCTGTACGGATTGAAACAGGTTCTGGACGGTCTGTTGTTGCGCACGGTGTCCATTGATTAGGTATTTCGATGTTCCGCCCAGGACAATCTGTCTGGTAACGCTGATAGTGGCATATTCCTCAAACCCGATGGGTGATTTCTCCTTGTCTCTGTTGTCGAAGACGATGGTGACACTTGCTTTCGTTACGCCTGCTTGGCCACGCTTGTATATCAAATCCTGTTTGGCACGTCTGTTAGCTTCGCCATGCGTGTGGTCAGAGTAGCGCAAGGAGGTCTGATGCATACCTGCAAGTTCTGGGCGCGGACTGTGGACATATTTGTGATACCCAGAACGAAGCAAATCGAATCCAGTATGTTGGATTTCCCACTACCGTTGAGGCCGGTGATAGAGTTGAAGCTCTCGTCCCTGGGCGACATCAGTCTCGGCGATGCGCTGGCAGAGAGGGACATTGTTTACTTACCATCCTGAGATGACAGTCCGCACGGCATACGATTTGAAACCCTTCGCATGGTTAGAACAGGCTCTCTGGGAGATGACGAGAGTGCTTACGTCTATGATGACTTCTGTGACCCTCATCTTGAGGGAAGCGACCGTTCGCAGTCGCCGAAAGGAAGCTGGTTCGTGATGTGGGTGATGATGGAATTGTTGTAAGTAGCCGCCGCTTGTTGCTGCGCGCGCCCACAGTTGCGAAAGTCAACAAACCAAACAATTGGACATCTGCAGGGATAGCACAAGCCACACCTGCCCCACCTGCCCCTCTCCGCTGGATGAGCCACACCGTATCACTACCTAAATACTACGGTAGGTAGGACTTAGGTTCATATGTAAGTACTAATGATAGAGAGTGGACGGCGGCAGGTATCTAATGCTTTATTGAATATCTCGAACCAGTAAGTGTTGTAGCCAGCTAACGAAGTGAAGGTCTTTGTGGGAAGTTCAGTGGCCAGGGGCCCAACCAGTACGCTATCCTTATATACCCTTGCTGCCGTTTACACCCTTTACTCTGCCATGTTGGATTAAGTGTACCTAGTCAAGTACTCAAGCTCCACTACCAATTCAGCTATACTGTATTTAGTATGGCGCTTTCCAAGGGGAACAGCAAAGTGACTTCTGAAGTCTGTACTGAAGAAAACAGCCCATAGTGGTCAGATTGGCTAGTTGACCCATATGGGCTGTTTTTTTCAGGGGCTATCCCATACAAAGTCAGTCAATCAATCAGTCAGTCAACCAGTCAGTCAACCAGTCAGTCAATCAGTCAGTCAACCAGTCAGTCAACCAGTCAGTCAACCAGTCAGTCAACTAGTCAACTTTCTAATCAGTAACTGG